TACTGTCCCCAGAGAAGTCACTATTCCGTACTACACGAACACCATGACGCGTGAAATAATTATAATCATTATCAGAATTAGCATCTGAGTCCATGTCTAATGAAAGTTGTTTTAGACTTTATTTTAGAGAGGGATAAATGGTAGCAAATAAAGAAAATGTACCCATGATGTTGAGCACCCTTGATCCCTACGACCCTACCTCCAGGCAAAGAATCTTGAAAAGGCGAAATTTATACGTATATATAGATATATATTTAGCTGTCTGCCTACGGACTGTCGATGCTGCTGGACTCAGAGAGGATTCTTGCGTTACGGCTACAAAGACTGCCAATTCAATGAATCCGCTATCCAGACCTTCCTCTTTCCAATAGATAAAACGTCACCTAGCCGTTTTTTTTCGACTGTATTGCCTAAAGTAACTAACCCGTGGTCGAGGTTTGCTGGTGGGCAAGGCAGATTGGTATATGTCCTGCCTCGCAGGGGGTGAATGGAGCAAGACTGGCCGCGTACAAAACGCTAACGATGAAACGCCCCCGCAGACCTGTGGAATCCGTAGTAGTAGTACTACCGTCGGTTGGAGAAGCATAAGAGACGGCGGATAGGTGAGAGAGTAAAAGGCCTGGAAATTTTCTCTCTTCTGTAAGGAAAATAGAACGGCCATCCTCTGACCAATGCATTGCTCATTATTGCTCGGCTCATCAAGGATACTGTCTCGATATGTGAGTAAAGTCAGGTAGATTGAGACCCTTGGCAACTAGATTACTCACTGAGGGGTCCGAATGAAGTGGTCAGGTTGTGGACTGCTTGATTGCGCGCTTCCTGGTGTCATAAGAACGACTACAACGCTTGGTAACATCAACTAACTTTCCGAAGAAGCGCGCTAGTGATCGCTGTGCGCGTCAGAAAAAAGCGAGGGCTGTAGCGCATCCTCGGCTTCTAAACCCATATGATGCATCTTCCACAGATTGTAGACCGCTTGGTCGTACTCCCGAGAGCGATCACATTCTGCGGTTGGAGGGCGAGAAGAAATTTCTGATAGAACAAAGGCCACAGCGTGCCATTGGATGTAGCTCTTGGAGTACCAACACCATTGCGGCATGTCTGGGCTGTCAACAAGACTAACGTTAGCTCGAGTACTTCAATCACTTTGGCGAATAGGCGGTCTCGAATACACAATGGCAGGCTGGTGCCATTGTCCTTGGGACTGAGTGGGTAGTACACACCGAGCCAGGTGCGGGCAATGATGAGTCGCGTCACAGTCACGCAGAGATGGAAGAAAGGGGTTGTTGTATCACATCGTTTTAGGAAACGCTCCCCCAAGCGCTCCTGTAGAGCCTTGGCGAGGGCTGCATGACCCAGTGTACACATACCAGGAGAAGATTATGCTGGAAGCTGCTCTGTGAGAGGGATGGGCCGAAATATTGGACCTTTGCCTAGTGTCTTCCTTCCCTCATATGCTAACCTCAGCAAGCAAAATACCAAGGTCACTAGGCCAATAACTAAAGCAATTAACTGGTCAGTGGAGGAGTTAATGCTGTAAACTTCTGACACAGAATTCCACCGCAAAGTTAGCTCGACCCCTAGTATCGTGTATATTATTATTAAGACAGCAAGCAGGCTGACAACCCTTTTATCCTTAAGTCAGCTTTTTCTGAAAATGAAGATACAGGTTAGGCTACTCACGGTGAAACTAGAGTTCCATCTGGCCCAAGCAGATTATGCTCACAGCCAATGTCGCAAACCGCATCACAAACCCACGAAAATAGAATAGAAATAGTCTCGATCACCAGAGTGATCCACAGAGGTACTGTGAAGATTGCTAATACAAGTGCAAGTCTGTTATACTTCCTAGACGCCAGGTGATACGAAAGGAAACTCAAGTAGGGCGTTACTGCTAGTGATATAGAGCAGAATGCCATGAAGACGCTCACGTGTCTAAGTCTCGACGTGATCTTGTTGAAGAAGAAATAAGTTGTTCCACCTGGGGTTTGGGTGAAAGTATCTGAACTAGCACCACTCATTGAGATCCAGAACCAGCAGCTGAACAGGAGCATCGGCTGGATCAGTATGACCATTACAGCTGCAAGTCCATTTTGCGCTTCTGCAAAGAGCATTTTCAGCTGAGACTGACCCCGGAATCCGCTCTTGAGTAAAAACGTATCCAAGAAAGATGGGGAGGCGGAATGCCCCATACTTTCATTATTGTGCTTGCCGTCTTGAAATGCAATGTCTCTCATGGCGGTGAGATTGTGTTCAGTTGAATTTCTGGGTGAAATCTCACCCGCAGTGTCTGAAGAAATACTATCCTCAGCACTTTCCGCAGTATTTCGATGCCACGAAGGACCAGCCCCAAAGATAGGCGAGGGCTCGGACACTGCTTGCCCATTGACTAGCCCTTCAGCAACAGTTTGCTGGGTAAGTTCGTTTGGGTTTATGACTGGCTTACTCAGACAGGAGGAAATGGTCCCTTCCATAGGGAACCCCTGTCTTGTTTCCTTTCTGCTCGAAGGAGCCGGTGGATTGCCAACGCTACAACCCCTGGGTAGAACATGCATGTTACAACTTGGATTTTCCTGTGTCCAAGACATCAACGATGATCCATCCAGTGAAAGTCTTTGTGTCGGTATTTTTGTTCGTGGATGTTCATCAACTGCTGTGGACTTGTTATTATCGAATATAAAATTATGACAGAGGGAGATCAGTACCGACAATTTCTAGTCAATTTTGGACGCCCAAAGGGTCGTGGCGCAATTTCGTTATGTATTTCGCTTGGCGCTTCTGTCCCTGTTTGTTCTGTTCTGTCCAGTCCTTCGTTTCCATGCTGGGATCCTTGATCCCTTATGACGACACCTGCACTCGGTCTGCTTCGCGGCAATGAAGGCCGATCTCCCAGAGTTACACCCACAGAGCCTAACCTCAAAAGACTTCGAAGTGGCAGCGCTTCAGGGACAGGTTCGTTCGGCACAGCTTCGTTTCCGGGCTTTAGCCCTCGCAGTGCACTGATTCCGTAAAAGATGCTTCCGTATACATAGACAGCACCTCCCAGAGGCGCAATCGCGTTTAGAATACCGCCAAAGAATATAAATAAAATTACCATCACTTCTGCATCAAATACGCACCCTTGGCTGAATATCAGAACAAGCAATGCTAGCTCGAACGCCAAGGAAAGGATTGCGTATGTCGCAGCCAAAGCTCTGCGGTCGTGGGGTAATAAAGCGTTTGCCAAAATAAATGCGACCCACTGAAAATAGAACCCGAGTCGTATCCCAAGACCATAGAACTCTGAATTGCCCACAAACCCGGCTTGCCCATCGGCTATCCTATCTAAGCATAGGGTTGGCTCGCTGTTCTTTTTAGCAAACACAGCCAAAGTTGGCAGTAGGGTGGCTGGCATCGCAATGTACACGATAAAAATCCCACTGTCCATCATCAGACTTGCGCTGGGTCTAGCAAGGTAGTAAAAGAATCCGTAAAAGAGTTTCCGAGGCCGAGACATGATAAGTTGAGATCTCGTTGACGTCAAACTACAGTGAGTTCTCAAGAGTAGCATTGAACATATCATATATTTCTGTAAATATGATGTTTGCTGAACTAGTCTAGGTCTCTTGTGGTGGTAGCTGGTCTTTAAATTTCCATCTACTGGAAGGCAAAAGCATTTGCGGAGATCATACGATCTTCGACGTCAGGGTCAAAGGTAGTTCTTGAAGAAACAGTCTCATACACAGTACACAATTTGATTCTCTGGGGTGGTATTCAATCAGTAGCTGGGTGCTTCGTAGGAATGACTTCACTGATTAGTACAATTTTCTGTGGATTGCCATACCCAAGCCTCTGATGAGCAGCTTCGATTGTGGATAAATTCATTTACTAATGCTGTCTACTCAAATCCATTGGTCTCAGTATGATTCTCTATCGACTGGAAGAAACCCCGAGAAGCCAAGACGTCACTTCCATGCTGCAAACGGACGGGTGTCTGATTATTTCGCAATGCTTACATTCCATTAGCCGGCTTTATCTACAATATGAGATTCGGCGACTTCGTTGCCACCCGCGCGCGATATGCTTCTAAGTTGATCCTAAGGGAGTGATTCATCTCTCGGGCTTTGAACGCACTAAATTAAGTCGTTACTTCATTTCGATATGGAATCAAATTTACGTTTAGGCACAAGTTCGTGGTGGCTCATTAAGAAACACAGTCGGCTTTCGACACGCCTAACACTATATATTTCTAACCGCCAACATTGTGATTATCAACATCCTAAAATTTAGTCTACCATAACATCTATTCTTCTTAGTAAAGCTAATATTTTTTACCTTGTTTAGGGAGGGACAGGATCTTCATATACATACACAAAGATATATCTCTAGCCTTAGATAAGGTCAGATAGGCTTCGAGTTGCATTCGGTCCGAGTTCGGGTGCGTTCAGACCTAGTTGGCACCGAACCGCTGCGATTCTGAGTCCAAATTTTAGAACTTGGAATCAACCCTGACCCATTCCAATTTAGTATTTCATTCACTGCAAAAAACCACTAGTCAGGTGGGTGCCGTCTGGGTGAGTAGGGTGAGTGCGCAATAGACAGCTAGGTAGCACCTCATGTTGCCTGAATTACGGGGGTGTTGGAGACGCTCCAGCATCGCGGCGTACAGATCGTCAAATATCAGTGATCTACTCTCATCGCCACTGTTAAACCACCCTTGGGACACAACTTATGATATCATGTGATTTACCGTACAATGAATACCATCGAGCTGGTGAAGAAGAACGGGCCTGCGAAATTTTTAGTGGCAGTGCCTTTTTTTAAAGGCAGGAGTTGCCCCAAGACGATGCTTTCATAACGTCGTCTGCTGCTCTTTTCACTACCACTCCCAAGAACCTCACATTGGCAAGCCTTGGGCCAACCTACAACATGCTGGCAGATCGTTCCAAAGTGAGCATTGCTCTGATAAGTCTTTATTTGCCTGTCTTAGTTTTAATATCTACTATGTCCTATCCCATCCGTTAATCCGATTCGGTCCATTCCATATTCATCTCGTTTTCTTTGGATCTCAAAACCAAGGCACCAGTCTTGCCCTTGCCTTCCTTGCCCTCCTTTCCCTTCTTGTCCTTCTTCTCCTTCTTCTCTTTTTCCTCTTCCTTCGCCTTGATGGCCTTGAGGAGCTCCTGGGCCTTCGTGCGCTTGCGAGCAACTTCCGCTTCTTCGGCAGCGGCGGTCTTCTCCAGCCGATCGACTTCGGTCTGCTAATATGATAATATCATATATCAGCCTCGGCTCACTACTATATGTACGTAGTGGCAGTGAATGTCTTACCAATATTTCGATGGACGAATCCATCTTGCACACTTTCGTCTTATGCGCCTTTTTTTTCTCGATTGCTCTTTTTCCCTTCTGACGTAGGGCACGGGGGCGGTCGTCATGTTTCGGGGCTTCCATCCAGAAGCAACCCTCCTTATTGACAATCACTTGCTGCTAATACATCCGTCAGATTCAACGCCAATTTTACATAGTCAACTGAACATGGAATTACCTGTACGATACGCGCCATTGCTGCTGGTGCTGCTGGCCCGGAGGCCACCTTGCTGAAGAACCGTCCTACAGAAATTAGCACAGAACGAAAGAATGCAGAAAGGGCCGAAGAATGTACACACATGTCCATTTCGCTGTCCCAATGTGCCGACTTGCCACCGTAAAATTCACATTGCGCGCCCCTTGAGTGCCATATGCAGTTCGCACAGGCACCAGCCAACAGACCACGCCGTTTGCAGTCAACACTGGACATTTCGGGCGCGGAGACACAAGACTGCTGTTGTTGGTGTTAGTGTTGGTGTTGGTGCTACTGCTTTTCTTCTTAATCAGTCCATGAGATACACATATCCCAAGGAGCATATCTATACTCACGACACGGTACAAGGATGAAACGATGTTGTTAGAGGAAAGACAGAAAAGAGACACGAAAACAAATGGAATGGACGCCTGTATATATAGATCTCAGCTTGTGGTTAGTCAGCTATTGTTGTAATAATATCCTATTGTGTAGGCAGTAGGTGACAAAGGCCTATTATGTCCTACACACCCTTTACTATTGTTAATGCAACAACACAAACTTATATAAGACCTAATCTCTCACTGAGCAGACAGAACAGTGAATTATTTTCAAACTTACATCTATATAAAGTGACTCCTTTACTTGAATTGACATTTTGTATTGGGGTGATTGTATGATGCATGCACACCTAACATGTTGAAAACAACCATGGTTCATCTACTCGTCGCCAAGGGCCTGACCCATATCGGAACCCATATCGGAACCGATATGGGGACGAGTGTGTAAATGTTGACATAAATGTTATGGTATTATTGCATCGGGCGGGCGGGGAAAGGTTATATTTATCGCGCTGAGCAGCGCCTCCACAAGCAGACTTGAACAGTAGCTTATGACTGTATCACATTTCTCCACTGAACAACAATGTTCTCAGCAGGAAAGCTGCATTCACATCCTGAACGAGCCTTTTGCATGGTTTGCGGCCTTCGGGAGGGCAACGATAAGTGGCTCAAAGCAAGTAAGTCTATGACGGACGGTTCTTGAGAAGCTTTATGTTACTAAATACATTCAACTTGATTGAGTCTATTGCACACCGACTGGGGTAAAAGTGACCAATCCCAGGCAGGACCCTTGGTATAGGTCACTCGAATCCAGTGATGGCGGGAGTGAGATACAGAATGGAACGGACGTGTATCTCTTTCATGAGGAGCCATGCTGGCATCGTCTCTTGGAACATTTCGGCCCTGACAAACTTCATTTGGCCAGTGTCTTTGAAGCATTGGAGCGTTTACCACTCCCGAGAGACTATACCTTTCCTTCATATGCTTCATTACCAGGCAGGATAGAACTATGTGCCTGGCCGGCAACGCAAGACGACCAACATGAATTCCCCATCCTCCCTGGCCGGTTTCCCCTTCCTGGTCTGGAAGAGCTGATGCGGTTCGCAAAAGACCCTCCCAAGCCCTCGTCAGTTATCGCGCAAAGGCCCGTCAGCCGTCCAACAGATGGTTTCGAGCGACTCTCATTCGAGACTCTTGTAATTATGTCAAGCATGCTACCGACAAAGGAGGCTCTAGACCTCCGGCATGTGACACGAGCTGCAATACCACTTTTCACAAGCTCCAAATTCTGGAGAACGCGATTTGCCATCAACGGAGAACGTGGCTTTCTCCTCCCCATAGTCCGGAAATTCTTCCCGCCGGAGGGCAATCATGAGATCGACTGGAGACTCCTGTACCATTGCACTGCCCGTCTGAACTGTAGTGATTGGTTTGAAATAGAGATTCGGGCCTGGGAAACCTTGCGCTGGCTTCGAGACACAGCTTCGGCTATACATCGTGGGAGACCACGTCCGCCCGACTTCCGGGGTAGTCCAGCCCTGCAGCATTATCACAATACCGCCCGTCGCAACACATTCATTGAGTCCGTCGAGATAACATCTTCGTTATGCAAGATCGCCATATCTGCGCTCCAAGAAGCAGGAGAAGTGAACATCACCGGGATCGAGTTTATCTTTGATGATGGTCGGCCCAGCGCCATGCTTGGCTTCGCTACCCCTGGAGCGCGGCAGATGACCCGCGAGAAATATGCACGTAAAACACGTAGAAGCCCTTTCGATAGGCATACGACGTGGCCATATCCAGGTGTTCGGGTGACGATGGATGTTGTTGGTCTACGTGGGATCGTGTTCCTTAAAGATGCAAACGGGATCCACGGCATTTCTATATACCATGGTTGGGAGGAATTTGACGAGCTGGATGACTCTCTCTGTGTCGGCCTTGCGACACATGACTATGACGAACAAGAGCAGGTTGCATATTCTGTCTCCCTGGACAAGGTCGAAAAGGTCATTGCAGTAGTTGATGTGAGTCTGTGCTTATTTCCCTTACATTCTTGCCCTTCTTGACGCTCGGGTAGAACCGCAAGATGATTGAGCTGGGAATTTCCGGGACGACAACGAAGCGGTCTGTATACGCCGAGGATGAGTGGGATGATGTTGTGGATATGTATAAACGAGATAATGCCACCCTTCTCAAATCCGTGTCATATCTGTGGGAGAGTGATTCAGTTTGAAATTCGATGCGATCTCCAGGAGATTGAGCCTAGGAATTCTGGGCAACACCCACTAATTCCTGATTCCCTAGGATTTTACTAGACCCCGCTATCAAACTGAGTATCTCGGAGCATATGACCTTGTTGAATTCCTGATGGCATGACTACGTAAATGTAGCTTGTAATATTGGGACCTGTGAATTACTACATGCGGCTAGTTTTGCTGTTTCTGGGTTGGCGCCCCAATACACCATCCCATACTCCGTAACCTCTCCCTCCCCTCTTGATACTCCTCAACCTCTTTTTCTTTATTTAGCACCGCCTTATTGTCACCACATCATGCCCGTTACTCGATCAGTCACACGTGCCAGTGAAATGAATGCTAAGAAGACTACAACGAAACGCGCTTCAAAGCCACAGAATGACTGGCATGCTATCAACAGCACTACCACAAAAACAAACGCCAAAGATCCATCTCCAGCGGAAAGGCCACCTCAGAGCCGCAGATTGCTAGAATGGATATCGCTCAAAGATGCACCCAATGGTGTCATCCCAAATAGCGACGAACTTTTTGCGACCCTCCAAGAGATACACAAACTCAAAGAATGCATCGTTATCGCCCGAGGCCGTCCACGTGAACTAAGAGAGATTGAGTGGTTGATTATCGGTAAGCAGCATTAACCTTTCAATGTAAGAAGATGCTATGCCGTCTTCTAAATATCAACAATTAACCAAGTACTAGAGTGGAGAAGCAGCAGAGACAGGGAAGAGTTTCGTACCTCAGAGCTTTTCCTCAGATTGAATGAAGCCCTTGCACATCGCTCATGGAGCCAAGAAGTTGCCTGGCCGATCTGTGATACTGGGATGATCATACGTGCAAACCCGCTTTTCCCTCCACAGAGGCTTTATGAGGTCCTGACAATCTATTTCCCTGCAGATTTAGATCAGGAAGCTATCTGCTCTATTGAAACGTTTAGAGGGCTACCATGCTGGCACCTTGATGATGAAGACCCAGTTGAATGTCCCTCGGCGGCGGTCAAGTCCCAGATTCCTGCATGGATAGAGGGGACTTGTGAGTACCAGAGGCAAACTGCAAGGCGGTTGGCTTATTTCATCGAGTTCGCTGACGAAAAAGGAGAACGAATCTATAAAGAAAAGGTGAGGTATAATCCACGCGGAAGGCCACCTTGGGACGTCATGGTGAATTTCTTTGACGAGCTGAAAGATCTTGGGATGATCGGGTACGAATCGATGCATGTTGAATTTGTGGAGGTCGTTCACTATGTACCGGAGAACTACGTACCAGAGCCTCCCCGACCTATATCTCCTGAAGGGATGAAGCGTTTAGATGGTTTGCCAGCCTACGACTCAGATGTATCATTATAAAAGGAAACCAATGGCAGAGCAGGTTGCACATGGTGGCACCAATGGCCGTTCAAAAGTGCTACGGAACAACAGACAGACTTTTAAATAGACACATTTTCAGTCAATCTACTAGTAGGGATTGCTTGGGTCCATCATAGACGCCTGAATGAATTGCGTCAAGTCATTGTTACTCTATAAAACTTCACACTTAGTGCAAAGTTCCCATTCCAAGATAAAATGCACCATGCGCTTGTACACGAAAAAGCTTGCGAGATATCCAGAAATATAATATACAATCAAAGCTAGTTCCAGACCTAAGCAAGAGACAATCGGCAATGTGAAACGTCATCCAGTGCAATAGGGTATCTGGAGACGGTGTGGAAATCGTAAGACGCACGAACTGGATGGGCTTTGCCAGCTAGAAGAGGCTTCAGCCCATACCCAAAGTTCATAAAGCACCGAATCCCACATGCAAGAGAAAGATTGGTCAGGATCAGGGATGAAAATGCAAAAGCCGTCATCATATATTTGGTAGCACCTCGGGCAATATGACTGTTTCCATAGAGTGCAGCGATCCGGGAAAGTAGGTATGCGATCATGGCCAAATGGCAGACCTACTCTGTTAGTGAGACTTGAAGACTGATACCCGCGAGAGTGAATGGGACTATTACTTACGATCACTAGTATCATGAGTGGCTTGTGCTCCTTGCGAACAATACATACACCCAAGATCATTACAAATGTTAGGGCTGGTGGGACTGACATGGTTAGGCCAAACTCTGGCCCCAAGACGAAGTGGGCATGGATCAAGCCGTATTGCAGAACGAAGCAAATGATGAAGAAGGCGCTTAACTTGATGAAGACCACATAAACCTGTAACTTATTAGTAGCTATAAGCAAGAGCAAAGAACATGCACTTACTTCATAGGCGAGATGTCGAGCTCTTGTATGTGAATCACCCTGCACACGCCGGTAGATTGCCCAGGCATACTGTTTGTGCAATCGGAAAGCAAACCACCAGATTCCGAGGGTGCAAAGCCCAATCAAGATCGGAACTGCAAGTTGAGGGCCTCGGATTTGCGGCCAGATGTTCCTACTAGTGTCTACCAGCGGTTGGGTCATACGGCCCCCGTTGAATGGGCATGGTTATGCAGAAGCTCTTCATGGCCGGATACTGCATGGCCGCGAAGGCCACGACAAAAGCATTACTGATGCCGATGGCGAACAGTTGGATATTGTTTTTGTGATGCATAGCGTTGATGGAGAGTGAGAATTCAAAGACGCAGGCGAACCATACGATTGCCGCATCAATGGGAACGATGTATAAGGGGGCGACTTCCACGTCCTTTGGGCGCATCCATAGCTGCCATTCCACAAGGATAAAGCTGGGTCTTGTTAGGCGGATCGCAGGCTTCCGAGGGAGTTGAGGCTCACAGTTCAAGGGCGAGGATGATGATCGCTTGGGTAGCCATCAGTCCACCGAATATCCTTTCATTCGTGCTTTTGGGTGAATACATGTTCAGGACTGGAATATGTGGTCATCGTCGCATGTAGGTTCTAAAGAACTCGAACTTCCACATGTTTATTTTTAAACGTTAGTGAATTACCTTTTCCCCCTCCACGGAGCTCCCTGCCGGACTGAATGCACTACGGAGTAAACTTGTAACTAGTGTTGGCGCTGGCCGAGGCCCGCGGGCCGCTAACTACGAAGGACTTTTGTTCTAACATATGAGATTTTCATCATATCACAATATTTAACTTTTTCCAGATCGGAGAGATGCCGTATACACTGTGGAGGGCGAATAAGGTGGAGGAGGCCGGGATTATGGCCCACTCGGGCTGCCCTACATTCTGGGGACCACTCCGGAACCAGGCGAATAGGATGCCAGCCTGCGGTTTTGGAGGGCGTCGATCGCGTTCCAGCGTCGCGTGTCGCCGATACCAGCTCGGCATGTGTCACAGCTGGAGATGTTCCATGGGACATATCCTATTTTCCCAGATCCTTCAATCACTTGGCTATGTAACGTTAACTAACTAGACTCAGCTACTGCACCGATATATTACGTAATCCGCTACAGGGTGGGCAACTAGGCATGCACGATGTGTGAGATGTGTTGGTACATTATGCAGTGTGGAATGTGGAAATACTTATATGGGACGCTGATTTTCGAACACTACTCAACTGAGTGGCTTCCTTGGAAAAGGCCATTTTCCGTGCAATGTGGGCTGGAGATATGACTCTGTATCGCCTTTTCTTTGTCTGTTACGGCTGAAGAGCTGCAAGGAATCCGTTTGCTCTTTAGAGAGAGATCGCAAATATACGCACGTACTCATATAAGATGTTCTATTTTACTACTTACTATGCATATACCTAGAGCAGTGCCTTGTGGACGAATAGTTGCTGTCAAGCCATCGCTCAAAGGAGGAGACAAACGATCAGCAGTTGCTCTACTCTGTAGCATCGGAGATCTCTATATGAGGCGCAGAGGCCTTCGTCAAGTGTTTTATCAAGAATTCAATTCAAGTAATTATTAGGTCAAGGTCATGCTATTGGATCCATGTGCCTATTGCCATGTGTTACGTGCTTCAATCGATAAAAGTCTACCTGAGCCCAGTATGGTGTTCTTACTTTTGAAGACCACACGGTTGTCTGCGACTGTGGCCTCTACCTCTCTATATATATGCCGGAACTTGTGGCCTTTCCGCGCCTGTGAGTGCCCGCTTTTATGAGCATATTATCATATTGAATGCTCGTATACTTGGTAAGAAAATGTGTAGACCAGGATGGTAGATGCAACATTTGAGAGCACAATTAATGATCAGCACTAGTACTATCTGCCCTGCAAAACACTTATGGCGCCTTCATGAGAAGGTAAGTATCGCCGGCATCATCGATACTGGTCGCATACTTCACGCGCAATCCGTCCGCCACCTTTGTGCCCAGATGACGAACCGACGCCGAGGACATAATGTCCAGCACACTCAAATCCACCCCGAGGTTTTGCCGGATCCAATTGCGGATTTCGATCGAGACGAACGAGTCCATTCCCAGGGCCTGCAAAGACTGGGAGATATCTAGCTCCTCCTCCGGTCGCAGCATGAACGTCAGCAGCTGCTGCCCGATTTCCTGTGCAAGCAAGTCATGGGTCGTCGGCTTCGCGAGAAGAATTGGATTCATGGCCAGTTCGGACAGAAATTGTTTGAGGCCTTCATTGTTGACGGTTGACGCGGTGGTGGCTTCCCCCCCTTGGCTGTCATTATGGTAGGATGCCATGCGACGATCGCGTTTCCAGCGCACTTGATTCTTCGTATCGGTCCACGAGAGCGTGCTGCGCAGACCGATGACGAGCTGGCCAGGATTGCAGAATCCCTGCTGTTCAGGAAATCCCGAGGAAGAGGAGGAGAAACTGGGTGTGGACTGGAAAATTGCAAACTGCAGGGAGTCCAACAGTTCCTGCTCACGGAGGAGGTAGAAGCCGCTCGTTTTCAATTTCTGCAGCACTGTGCTGTTTCGACTTGCGTATCCAATGTCCCCCAACACGCCAATATCAAGAACTGAGGCGGGAAGACCGAGCTGTCTACGATACTGGCAAAAGGCATCGAGAAATGTGTTGCCGGCAGCGTAGTTGGCTTGTCCCACTTGGCCGATGACGCCTGAGATGGAGCTGAAGAGGATGAAGAAATCCAACGGGCTCTCTTGCGTCGCCTCGTGCAGGTTCAACGTGCCACGCACTTTGGGTGCGACCGCGGTCTGCCATTCCTCGTGCGACATTTGAAGATATCCTTGATCCTAGTTTTGCTGTCCGTTAGTACTGCATAAGAAAGACCTTGGTCCATCCCTCGTGTGCAGGTGACTTACGCGTAAAACCATGGACATTTGAATCACGCCGCCGATCGGCTTGGAAGCGGTTTCTACCGTGAACTTCACATCGTCAAGATCGATCACACTCCCTGAGATGGTCTGCACTTCACATCCCTGCGATCTCAGCTCGGCCAACCAGTCAGTATGGGCTGGCGAGGTCGCCGACCGGGACAAGAAAACTAGATGTCGAGCACCGCATTCGATCATCCAAGTCGCTACGGCACGTCCAATGCCACCAAGTCCACCAACCAGAAGGTAAGAGCGATCCGCCCGCAGCTGGAGACTTCGGGCGGTTGGAGTCGAAGGCAAAGATGTGGCTTCCGCGGGCATCAACACCACAATCTTCCCCATGTGCACTCCCTTCTGCATGTACCTGAAGGCATCGCCAATCTCGCGGGCATTGAAGGTTTTCAGCGGGGAGATGGGTTTCACGATCTGATCCTCGAAGAAGCGGACCGATCGTTCCAGAAGACTAGGGGAAGTGGTCAACAATATGTTCAGTCACACCCAAATACAAGACCACTTGTCTTGCTTGCTTGCTAGCTTACCTTTGACCAAGAGCCGGTCTGGTCTGAGTCAATGTCCACAGATCAACGCCGAAGAAGGCCCGATTCTTCTCAAACACATTCATTTCAAGTTTACCATGGCCAACGAAATCCCGTTTTCCGATTTCAATCATTTTGCCGAATTCCGCTACACACTCCCACGAGGCATGTAGCAGCTGGCCTGATAAGGAGTTCAACACCACATCCACCCCTTTCCCATTTGTCTCCCGTAGCAAGTCCGGCAAAAAGGAGGTATTGCGTGAGTGGAAGATGTGGTGGCGTGGTAATCCGAAGGTCTCGGTGAGAAATTGAACCTTTTCCTCATTACCTACGGTGGCGTATACCTGGTGCAGCCTGCCTGTCAGTATAAATGTTCTCTCCACTGAGAGGAGGAAGAAAAAGACATGGAAGCTTTCGCACCGTCGCACCCAGATACTGGGCAATCTGAATCGCTGCAATTCCAACTCCTCCAGCGGCTGATTGGACAAGAATCGTCTGTTGCGAGGCTCGAGTCAGTAAGAAAAGAAAGGAAGAAGGAAGAAGGAAAGAAAAAAAGAGTATATACCTGGCCACTTTCCAGCCGAGCAAGGTCTATCAGGGCGTAGATGACAGTTCCATACACAACTGGCATTGATGCAGCTTCCTCAAACGTGAGCGACTGTGGCAGTCGCACGCAAAAGTCGGCTCTGGTGGTGACAAGTGTTGCAAAGCTGCCTCCATCCAACACCACGACACGGTCGCCTGGTTGTAAATTTTCAACATCAGGCCCGATCTCTGTCACGATCCCGGCGCACTCGAATCCAAACCCGCGCGGGATCTCAACCACTCCTAACGCTCCTACCACGTCCTGTGAACCCATGTCAGTGAATTTCTGATATTTGTGGATTGGCCAAGAGAATGAAAGGGAGAAGGAAAGACGTACGCGGAAGTTCAGTCCCACAGCGCGAGTGGCCACTCGAATCTCTCTGCCCTGCAAAGGTCTCAACGACTCATCCACCCAGCAAAGAGTCTGCAGCGATCCAAAATTCCCAATAGACAATCTCTTTGCACTCGTGGTCCCAGATAGACTAGACTCTTCCTTCTGCTGCAGTGCCTTTGATACACTAAACTTCTCGAATCTCCCAATCTGAACAACTCCATCAGCCAGGGCGTATTCGAAATCATGGTCCATGTGCCCGCTCCGGTCTCGTCGCATGAACTTGTCCATTACTTCCAGCACAGTCACCCAGATGGATGGAGTGAACTCATTTACTTCTAGCGTCGCGAGATCTATCGAGAGTTCAGACCTCAAGGTCCTGGCAAGCCCGAGAACAAGTGCATACCCCGGCTCCGAGCAACCGACCTGAGCAGATCGAGTTACCCATAACATGCCAGACGACGCAAGACCCTCTGCGATGGCCTGGAATTGCTTCAGCCGCTCGGAATCGATGTCCAAGAAGAATGGGCCGTCGAGGTCGAGAAGGGATATGATGTCCTGGTCTCGGGGGAGATTCTCGCCTAGTGAACGGACATCGACACGTAGCCCCTTGGATAAGCAGATATTTGTGACTGTTTCGACGACGGTCGAAGAAGAGAGGATTCGATTGTCTGAGATCAGAAGGGTAATCCCCAAGGATAACGACGATGATGATGTACTAGGAAGAGTTTCCTTAGGACGTGCCACAATGACGGCGTCAATTTGGTGAGGGGTATCATCATCATAAACCGATGCTTCGACTCCATTGAACCCTGCATCACGTAGCTCTTGGTCCCAGCGGTCGACAGAGACAAACGGCGTATCAACACGACCGTCCGCTTCTCCCAGCCACCATCCCGGCAGAATCCCCATGATATAATTCAGGAAGCGGATCCTGGGACTCAACTCGATGAAGACCAAGCGGCCACGAGGGTGCAGCAGCATCTGAACATGCTTCAGGGTGGTTTGGAGGCTGGATGTTGCGTGGAACACGTTCGAGGCAATGATGAGATCGTACTGCCCGGACTCAAAGCCCTGCCTGGATGGATCCTGCTCAATATTGAGGGTGGCGTATCGCATCAATCGCTCGGCCTTGAAGCGTTCCTTAGCAGGCGCGAAGAAACCCGCCGAAATATCTGTGAAAGTGTAACTGGAGTACCGCAGCTCGGCAGCGGATCCTTTTTTCAGCGCCTCCAGTACCGCCGCCGTGGTTCCTCCGGTACCCGCACCGATCTCGAGGACTCGAAGGGTGGGATTCTCGTGGCCGATGGCGCTGAGGAGAGGCGTGACATCGATCAAACTGTGGCAGAGATTGTAGAGATTGGTCAATGCATTGTTGAGCATCAGCACCTCGAGCGGTTCTTTCTCCCCCTTATAGACCAGTTCACTGGCTTCATGCACCTGCATGATACCGGTGCCAATCGCAGCCATCTCAGTGGATTGGATCTCTGCAGCCACGGCTTCGATCATTGCACGTCGGTCGTGCACATTCAATTTAGCCAGGTCTTGTGCATCCTCAATCAGCTCATCATCCCCTTGTTGAGCGCGGGCAGTCTCTGCTTTGATCCAAGCTCGGAACTTGTCGAGATGAGCGGAGCTGCCGGGCGGCAGAGAAGATAGCCGATCGTGAGTGTCAATGATACATAGAACTGTCAATCGTTCACAAAGTAGGCGAGCTGGCCTCGTCTTCAAGCCAAGCGGCTTTATCAGGGTGCGAGAGTCAATGAAGTCCACGTCTGCAGCCCATCGCAGCTGCGCTCCAGCGTGAGGATCTTCTTCTATCGCCTCCGTATGCCCATCATTTGATAGAGGCATCAGCTTGATTCCTTTGAAATTGACCACACTGTGGATTTGTTCGGTCGAGTCCCTTGAGAACCCAGATATATCGCTCCTCACTTCACCGTTAGAGCCAGGGGGACTTTGGGCGGTAACCAGGAGATGAATAGGGCTCGAAGTGCGCTCTATTTGAATCTCCTCGACTTCAGTCGGAACCACCAGCTGACGAAGATGGCGCGGAATTCCCTGGGCTAGTGCTGTACTAATCATTTGCAAACAAAAATCAATGGTGGTAGGATGGAGTTGGTATGATGTTTCTCGGTGATCAGCATCAAGCACTGTAGCGGACGCCATCTGCTTCAAGGTATCGGCGGCGATATCTTGCAATCCTTGGAATTCTGGCCCGTAGTTGTATCCCACATCCCGCAAGGTCTGATACCACAGTGGAGAGGGAACCGCTCGCGGTAGTCTCCATTGATCTTGAGGAATAGCTTGCTTCCTCTCACCCTCCCAGTCTGCTCGCACCTGACCAAAGCAATGCTTGGTCCAAGACGACCCATTGAAGGACATAACGGAGAAGTCATACCATTCAGAATCCAACGAGGTGGTCAACGCCGCGGAGCGAAGACTTGTCATGACTTCGGTCTTCTGCGTATCTTGCAAGATCATAGCACTCGTGATATTTAGTCGTCGAAGAGAATACCTGGCACATTCAACCGCTCCCCTGGTCACTTGCCGCACGGCTTCTCCAGCCATAGCAATATAACCTGCTGCAGGGAAGACGATGTCTTCGTGCACCTTGTGATCGCGCAACCAGGGTACGTTGCTCAGCCGCAGCACATTCCGCCAGGTGGGCTCGAGATCATTCCCCTCGAGGATGCGAGAGCCCAGAAGCTCGTGACGGGGGAACGGACGCAATCGCCATTCGCGTGAAATTCGATTTTCGTACCAATATTGCGCCTCGTGGTGCCACGGATAGTTGGGAGTGTTGTGAAGCAAGGTTCCTTCCCCGGGACCGTACACCGCCGCAAAGTGTGGCTGCAGCCCTTCGAGATACAGATTTCCCAGCGTTGTGAGGAGATTTTCGTGACCATCTTGGCCACGCTGCAGAGTGGCAATGTACGGTGCCTGGATGCCTACCGACTGCAGAATCTGTCGGGTGGGTGTCGAAAGGGCCGAGTGAGGTCCGATCTCAAGGAAAACATGATTCTTGTTCTCGGAACCGTCGAGGAGACGCTCGACAGCGGACTTGAACAGGACGGGCGATTCAAGGTTCTTACGCCAATAAGACGCATTCAGAGCACCGGCTTTCTTGATGACATCTCTGGTAACAGAGGAATAGAATGGGATTTTCGGCTGGCGATCGACGAGGTAACCAGCAAGCAGCGACTCATAACCGGCACCCAGCACGGTCATATGGTCTGGTCATTCGATTACAAATTAGCGACGCGTACGTAATGCCTGAGTGGGAGAATACCAACCGGAATGATAAGCAACGTTGACCTTCAGCCGGCGTACAAAGAGATCAGCGTGCTCTTCTTTGAGACTGGTCATGATTTGCTCGACCTCCTTGATATTTCCCGACAATGTGACATTATCGGGACTGTTCTCACAGGCAATGGACACCCCAGGGATAAGGTGAGGGGCAACAGCATGCCGGCCCAGTCCAACAGCGGCCATCGCGCCCTGTTGGGCATTTCCTGCAATACGCCCACGATAGTACGCCACTATGATGGCCTCACGAGCTGTAAGGGCCCCGGCTGTGTAGGCTGCAGCGATTTCTCCACTTGAATGACCGACCACTGCCGCTGGGGTAATGCCCCATTCCCGCAGTAGATTGACAATCGCCACCTGTATAGCTGTGCATAGTGGTTGCGATAGTTCTGCACTCATTGACTCTGCAGTCCCAGGAGTTTCAAGCGCACCTATATAATAAAGAAGGAAAAACGGTCAGTGTTTGGGATTTCGAGTGGAGGGTATTCCTCAACGTCGGAAGAGCGTACCTCGAATTGTCCATGTTGGCGGATGCGGTAACTCTTGGAGGACCTGATCCATGTCATGGATGTCCTTACGAAACGAGGAATACTGCTGAATTAATTCCTTTCCCATGCCAGGCCATTGAGCTCCTTGGCCCGTAAAGACAAAATTGAGGGTCTGTCCCGATTTGGCTTTTGCTGGTCGGCTTACTTCTTTCCACGTCTGTCCATTCAAAATACAAAATGCTCGGTGAGGGAGATGCTCACGACGGGCGGCCAGGGTGTAGGCCAGATCAGCCGCAAGGACATTGGATCGGGCAGTATACTCTTGATAGCTGCTAATGAGCCTTTGCAGTGAGTCCGGATGGTTCGCGGAAAAGACTAGCAGATGATTCTGCTTTGTTTCATTTGTATCCCGCGGAGACGATGACAACGATGACGATGACGGTTGCAGGGCAGACGCGGCAGAATCAAGAATCACCTGTGGAGAGAGTTGAAGTGTCAGACATACCGAGGTTGGTGAAGCTGACGGGTTTCATTCTTACATGCGCATTTGCTCCTCCGATTCCAAAGGAATTCACGCTGGCTCGCTCTAAGCGCTCAGCGGGCCACGGAGTCGGCTCCTTTGGGACACGCAGTTTACTTTCTTCCCATGGAATCTTCGGATTGGGGGTTGTCAGTTTTATATTTGGGGGAATCACGCGATTCTCCAGGGCCAGAATACACTTGATGATGCTGGTAATGCCTGATGCCCCTTCCGAATGGCCAACGTTGGGTTTGACCTGGTTAGTTGTCAGTTAGGGCTGTGGCTACAAACTTCAGCACCGAACAAAATCATCCGGTCACTCACCGAACCAATATAAACGCCCTCATTGCCAAAGACATTGGCAATGGATTGAACCTCCAGCGGATCTCCAACGGGCGTTCCAGTGCCATGGCACTCCACGTATCCCGTCTGCGACGCCGGTAGTCCAGCCACTTTATACGCACGGCGAATCATGGCTTCATGAGTTTCTGAACTGGGAACAGCCAGTCCAGGGGTTTTCCCATCGCAGTTGGTCGCCGTAGACCGAATGACGGCACGGATCGGATCACCATGGGCAATGGCATCGCTCAATTTCTTGATGTAGATGGCATTGATGGCTTCCGCTCGGGCGTACCCGTCGGCCGCAGCATCAAAGGTCTTACAGGAACCGGACGGCGACAAGACACCTTGTTGCGACATGGCCACTGTCATACCTGGACTCATTATTAGATTCGTCCCACCGACGATAGCGGAGTCGCAATCGCCGTTGAGTAAGGCTTGACAGGCTGCGTGCAAGCAGATCAAGGAGGAAGAGCAGCCCGTTTTTGTGGTCATGCTTTTCCAAGGTGGTCAGTTTAATATGGTCATATGGCCTGAGCATAGCACACGGAGGATTCTTACCTTGGTCCCTTCAGATCATACTCATAAGAAATCCGATTAGCCAACAGGAAATCGCCGGCCCCAGAGATGCGATAGATGCCGTCATCCTGAGTGTCTTTAGAGACGAGATCCAGCCAATCCTCCCCATAAACGCCGACATAACATCCAATATTCTCTCCCCGCCAATTCGTCTGCCCGGCCCTCTCCATGCATTCCCAGACCACTTCTAGTAGCTGACGTTGTTGAGGATCCAACATCTCAACCTCTATTTTATTCATCGAGAAGAAGGAGGTATCGAACTCCTTTAAGCTGTTCTCAAGAAAATACCCATATGTGGATTTGACAGAGCCTGTCTTACTAGATGGGCTGTAGAAAGAATCCACATTATAGCGACTAGCGGGGACTCGAGATCGGACATCGCCGCCGCTGAGCAGCAGTTCCCAGAAGGATTCGGGAGAGGTGATTCCGCCGGGGAGCCTCAATGCCATGCCGACAATCGCAATGGGCTCGGGGATGGTCTGAACCCCAGGCAGGCTTCCCTCGAGGCTATCTGATGGAAGCCCGTCAGGAGTCCGAGGCAAAGCGGCCGGAAGGGTATTGTGGTGAAGGCCATCGATTTCACCATCAAAGGTGCTGCGGTCTATACCATTGGCAAGATGCATGTTGGCTTACTTCGTTGAAACAGACTGGCTGTAATAGGGTAGGAAATGGAGTGAAATGAGGGCAGAGGATCGCTGCCGTCTTAGGAAGGAATATGTATCTGTCTGTCTTCGATGTTCTCGTTCCTGTGTATCGAGTCTCTGATAGATCCGTCCTCCCGATCCTGACTTATACCTCTTTATATACCGATGGCTTTTGCGGAGATTATTCGATTTTTATTGACACCCTGTCTTCTATTGCTGACTCTCAGCTCATCCTCCTTCAAGAATCCCCTCGTTATGGACTCGGCAACTGACTCCCTGCAGTTGGTACTGCTATAGTAGACTACCCAGGTATTTTTGCCAGGGAGCAACATCCACGCGTCCCGCTGTATGTATCCTTGCTCGAGGACCCAAGCACTTGCATCCTAGCGCCACCCTCAGCTAATAAATCCCACCAATAAGTACTTCTCTATGAAATAGATCGCTGAAGGCGTCGCTTGAGTTGGCTTGACACATGTTCGCTCGTTCTTGGCAACGTAAACTCAAGGACGAAGGTAATATCCGGAGGCTCAGTTCTGCAGCTTTGATTGAGTCAAGATCAATTCAACTTGAAGGAGTGAATTCAGACCGTAAAGAGCTAAATTCTCACTGCAGCCGGTCTAGTCATCAACCTGGAAGGAAAGCCGTCGCTAGGAAGACTATACCCTGCTGATACAAAGCAACCACTATGATGTGTATACACATGGTATCCCAGATGATACTCTAGCTCCAATACAAATATAATACCTTCTTTTCTGTGCCCTTATCTTACCGGCTCATTCCAATCTTTTTGTAGGTCAATCATCTGCAGTTGTAGAAATGCAGCGATTCTCACATCACGGTCCTACACACCTTTGCATGTTCAGGTTAGAAGCCATCTGTCCTGGAGAGATTTCACCAAGATGTCTTACACCGACAACGATGCTCTTCACTTTCTAGCTACATCTCTCGCTGTTTTTATTGCCCTATACACCCTGATCCATAGCATCATCTCCAAATCCATTCAAGAAGCCGCCCAGCAACCACCATGGCTCCCGGAATCTGGCTGGCTGGGCCTACGCGCCATGCGTCAGTCTTTGCAAGCGGACAGAACACAGACATTTCTGGCACTCCAAAGCGAGAGGTTCGCGAAGATGAATCGGATGACATATCGCACCAGATTTCTTCACCGATTTGCCATTCACACTTGTGATCCTCGCAATATCCAGGCAGTTCTCGGCACGCAGTTCAATGATTTTGGGCTGGGGCCAGTGCGACGGGCGAATTTTCGGCCTCTTCTGGGAGATGGGATCTTCACAGCTGATGGGCCGTACTGGTGAGTGCGAAACTTCCAAGTTACTCTCTTTTCTGGACTCGACAGGGAGAACATACTAAAGCGGAAATTTGCCTACATGCAGGAAACATTCCCGCGCTCTGCTGCGTCCCAGCTTTGCAAGAGATCAAATCTCCGATCTCGACCTGGAAGAACGCCATGTGCAGAATCTGCTGTGTGCACTCCCAGTCTGCCACGATGGTAGCCGGTGGACTGGCCCCGTTGATTTGCAACCGCTCTTCTTCCGGTTGACTCTCGATTCCGCTACTGAGTTTCTTTTTGGCCACTCCGTTGATTCACAACTAACTGCGCTGCTGGCCGAAAACGCTGCTAGTGATGGGGCGAGTGGTCGGGAGGCTTCTTTCGCTCGTGCGTTGAATACTGCGCAGCAATCTCTGGCGACTCGAGGCCGCCTGCAGGAACTGTATTGGCTACATAACCCGGCTTCCTTTCTGGAAAGCTGCGCAGATGTCCATTCTTTTGTTGATGGGTTTGTTCAAATAGCTCTTGAGCGAGCGTCATCCCCCGAGACCCATCTCCGGGAGAAAGGTGCAGAAGAGGAGACAAAGGAAAAGGACAAGGGGAAGAAGTATGTGTTTCTGGATGAATTGGCCAGACAGACTCGGGATCCCGTCGAGCTCCGATCCCAGCTGCTCAACATCCTCCTCGCGGGTCGAGACACCACGGCATCCTTTCTGGGCTGGACATTCTACCTCCTCGCGCGGCACCAGACCATCTTCTACAAGCTCCGACAGATCGTCCTGCGCGACTTCGGGACGTTCGATCAACCCACTGAAATCACATTTGCTCGGCTCCATGCCTGTCAATACCTGCAATGGGTCAATCGGGAAACCCTTCGACTGTTTCCCGTGGTTCCTGTCAATGCGCGACGGGCGTTGAAGGACACCTCCCTGCCTGTTGGAGGTGGAGCAGACGGACTCTCCAAGATTTTTATTCGAAAGGGTCAAGTCATAAATTACTCGGTGCATGTTATGCATCGGCACCGTGACCTTTGGGGACCGAATGCCGATGAGTTTGTTCCCGAAAGATGGGACAAGCGACAATCGGGTTGGGACTATTTGCCTTTTAATGGAGGGGCAAGGATCTGTTTAGGTCGTAAGTTTCTTTTTTCTCTTCTCTTTTTCATTGAATCTTCGAACGATGCGCCAGATTAACTTATGCCGAAACTAGAGAAGTTTGCCCTAACAAATGCATCGTATGTGATTGTTCGACTGCTTCAACGGTTCGAGGCGATCGAGAATGTTGATTCGGAAACGGAGACGAAACATCACTTGACTTTGACGGATTGCAGTGGGACGGGTGTTCAGATCCGACTGCAAACAGCAACTTCTTAGGATTTAGATATGAACATGCTATAGTGTGTGAACCATCCGTGGACTTTGGTGAAATTCTCGTTTAGGTACATCCGAGGGCAGTGGGACTTGAAACAGAAATAAAGAAAGGGGAAAAGTCTCCCTATGCCTCGCACGCCCAAATTATGCGTCAAATAACACTCTCACACTTCTGCTTGTGTCTTTTCCGGGCCTCCCTCTGGTGGAGGCGCTGGCACTGAAACTGGCACCGAAGGCGTCTTCTTCCCCAAGGGAAAACTTGCAATACAGAAGCCTAGCGCAGTCGCGATGGCACTGACTGCTGCAAGTGCAATAAATACACACCGAAAGGCTTGTGCATAGGCATACACCACCTTCGCCTTGTAGTCGGCGCTCACAGCTTCCGAGCTCAACTCGATAATATAGGCTTCTGCATTCTGCGCGATTGCAGTATCAATGCCTTGGTGGGCAAGGTACTGTGAAAGCGCATTCTGGAATATTGTACCCCCAACCGCAATTCCAAAAGACATGCCCAAAAATCTGGTAAAGGTATAAGTAGCCACCGCGAAACCTGGGTTTTTCCCGGCCGCAATGGCCAAAACGGCCACGTTCAAGGAGGCTAGAAGCAGTCCCTGGCCCAGCCCGTTGACGAGGAGGATAATCACCCAGGCTGCCGTGGGGGTGTGCACGTCGAAAAGGATTAATAGCCCACTGCCGATCGTGCTTAGTATCCAACCTGACCAGACGGCCCATCGAAATCGGCCGAGTTTAGTGATCATAATACCGGTGATGGTGGCGATTGGGATGTTGGTGAAGGTTCGAGGGATGAGAGCCACGCCTGTCAAGATTGGAGACATGCCTTTTACGCCTTCAAAATAGAATGGGATATAGTAGAGTTGGCCCAGGAGCTGATGAGAGGGTTAGTGGGTTAAAAAACAAGAAAAAATAAAAAGGGAAAGAGTCGAGAGTACTGACCAGAAAGCCTTGAGCGAAGGAGCAGATCTGCGCCGCTGCAGCAGACCAACTATTAAACACAGACAGCTTGAGAAACGGCTCCTTGGTGCCATACGCTTCCCAGACCAACGCCACCCCAACACCGACAAGGCCGACAATCAATGGCACGAGTGTGTGGAAACTACCCCATGGGAACTGCACTCCTCCCCAGCTGAGGGCCATTAGAAAGCTGGTTGCACTGGCAGTGAACAGAAAGCCACCAAACCAGTCAATCAGTAACAATCTGGACACGAACGAAGTCTCAAATTTCTGGAACTTCAGCCCGAGGGGCAGGGTGATCAAACCCCCTAAACAGAAGGGAAAGTTGATATAAAAGATCCATCGCCAAGTAGAATACTGCGAAACCGCTCCCCCCACCAAGGGTCCCGAGATGGTTCCCAGCGCTGACGCTACCTGCAGATACCCGAGATACTTCGGTCGATGGCGCAGAGGTATGATATCGGTGAAGACCACTTGCACCAGGGCGACGATGCCTCCTCCACCAATACCTTGAATGGAACGGCCGACCAGCAGCTGAACGATCCCATGCGCGGAACACACGATCGCCGTACCAGCGGCGAAGAGAAGTTCAGAGATGAGCAATAGTTCGCAGCGGCCGAAGATGTGCGATAGTGATGCGATGAAGAGCTGGCACACAGTACAGCTGAGGACATAAGATGTTGCGCACCAGAAGGCTTGAATGGCTGTTGCGTTCAGATCCTCCGCGATGGTCTGCCCGCATCAGTCAATCGGCAGCTGCATTTGAAGGATAAAACTACTGTACATACAGGCAATGCTGGGATCAAAATGGTGGTATCTAACCCCACCACCATCGAGATTATGGAGAGCGACCATATCGCAATGTAATTCTGTCGAGTCGGAGACCAGGCATCCGGTGGTGGTTGTGCTTGTCGAGTAACAATAGCTGATGCCCTCTCTTTCTCAGAGAGGTCGTTGCGTGCTGGCGACAAGACCGACATTTTCCTCCCCCCAACTTGTTGAAGATGGGATATTTGAGGATGAGAAGAATTAAACAGGGTGGGGATAGGACTGATCCCCAGTCGCCCACAGCAGACAGAGACAAACTACCACATCCATGATATGTGACAGCTCTCTACATTTGTTATGAGTACTATGATTTATGAAATACCCATACAGGTCTTGTGAGCCTATCCCCATACCTACATACCTGGTATTTTTGAAAGTCCATCACTGCATGAGGGAGGGGGAATCGGCCATCTCACGCCATACCCAGGCCCAGGTTACGTATGCAGCTGACCTTTACATATTAAAATCTATACTCTGTTGAATCCATGCTAACTGACTTTTGGCTAGGCGGCTGCTCCGCAGACTAAGAAGCAAGCCATACATATGCCTGTGTAGATAAATGATATATATGAAAGGCTACTTTAGGTATAGACTACTACACTACATAAGGCGGGGTACACCGCCATCTAGCAAAGAAAAGTAAGGTATCCGTCCGCTTTGACCCATATTTTTGGCAGGGATGAGAGGAAGTCATATTTTTGGCGGGGATATGAGAGCGAGTCGTATTTTTGGCAGAGATGAGAGATTATTGCCGCTGTAGGTATGTTCCCGTAACGTGTAAGTTACCAACCTTTTACATTATATTTTACCGGGTATAATTCGGAAGAACGGAGAAACAACACCATAAAACACACCCCGTATTTCAGGGTTGCTTGAGGGCATCTTCTTTCTGACCCCTTTATTACCCACTGAGGTAAGGTGACTGATCAGTATATTACCATTTCTGAGGGCTTTGTGCCAGACTAATAGTGTAAACCATCAAAATCCTTGGAGAAGGAAGGAGGTATCATATGGGCTACTATTCTCTGCTATTTTATAACATGGGCGTTTAATTACAGAGTAGAGCTCGGCCGATCAGTCAGAAGTTAATATATTTATTTTTTTATTGACTATCCGCCATCAGATCTAGCTTTGACTGACTACTGTCTCTGATGCTGAGGTTTTGTCACTGTTGCAAAGGACTGTTTCGAAGGGCTCTGCCCACCTATTAGTTTGTGCTGTTAACTCGCTTGCAGCTTCCAGCTCTGTCGGCTAATAACAAGCCGTATTAATCAATTTAATTGCTCCCCCTTGCTATAATTAGGCTCTTATCATCAACGAATTGGGTTCATTAGACTTGACTTCCCTTTTCAGGAAGCTTTTTCTGTTTCCGGGCCGCTTGTAACCAGGAATAGCCCGTACAAAGAGAGTTCGTTAATATCGTCCTAAAGCTTCGTCTTGACAACAAGTAGTATTATGTGACAGTATTACAATGAACAGTCCACCGACTCAGGCAGAAGACATAATGGTCAACAGAGGAGCGTCTCAGTATCGCTAGCAATGACTTCGCGGTTCGGTGGTATCCGCGGTTCAGTGGTTGATTACGTTAACTAGTTTATAATTGGTTGGCGCGTTACGCCAATGTCCCTGCAAGACAGGATGACAACTATCAATGATAATTCAAAGAGGGACATTGATACGAATCCTGCCAACCATATCTGTACCCTATACTTTTAATTCATCAATCGTCGTTGCTCGTAGACGCTTTGAAGATGGCCAAGACACATACTACTCTCTTTCCAACCCCACCACTAGACGAATGCAAGGCGCCGATTGAGAATGTGTTTGAACTGACTCCTGTGCCCAGCAACGATGGCCAAGTAAGTGTAGCAACTGATATGTCCTGGTGTACTAACTCTAGAAAAAAATAAATGGAATTAGGTCTCGACTGACTGCCTGACAGGCCGTCTTCACCAACACCCATCCTCTATGGCATCCCTCTGGATCCCGTGGAGTATACGGAGGGACTCTCATCGCCCAGTCCCTCTCAGCAGCCATGCTCACTGTTCCCTCTACTGTCAACATGCACAGTATGCATTGCCATTTTCTCATTGCAGCGACAGCAGAGACACCCATTTATTACCATGTTGATCATGTCCATGATGGTGATAGGTTGGTGACTTGTATGGTGAAAGCCAAACAAAGAAACCATCTGATATTCACAGCAGCTGTGAGCTTTATTAATAACCACAGCAGTATGGACGAAAAGGTTCTAGAGCACTCCAGATCGAAACCTGATGTTTCAGTGCCGCAAGATCCTGCGGTGATCACAGGAGAAGGTACTGGGAACGGGCTGTTTGAATCTCGAATTGTGGACAGTGACATTGGTAGGTATTGTCGGATATATCCTTTGAAATGTGATGCTGCAATTGCTTACGAGACTTCTGGCTTTAAATCACTAAGTAGATGACTTGCTTCGTCCATCAGACAAAAGATATAGACGTTTCGTGCGATCAAGGGGAACCATATCTAACTCTGGCGGTTCCAACGCACATATATTGGCACTCACATACTTAACAGACACCTATTTTATTGGAACCCTGTGGCGAGTCTACAATCTATCGCCTTACCCTTCTCCACCACCTACAGATCAGGAAGAGCCAAACCAAAAGGCCGAAGAAATCGAAGTGATGGCCAGCCTCAACCATTCCATATACCTACATCACCCACAGGCGGTCCGAGTAGACGACTGGATGCTCACAGAAATGGAGACTCCATGGGCAGGAAATGAGCGAGGTCTGGTTGTACAGCGGATATGGTCCACAGATGGAATTCTCGTTGCTACCTGCATTCAAGAGGTGAGTCAAGGACCCCCTCTCCTACCTCTTGAACTAGCCAACAGTATTGACAAACTACATAGGCTTTGGTGCGGCTGAAGCAACATGAAACTCCGAAGCACATGCTATGAAGATCATTTCTGATTTCGTATGTATGCCCGTGAAGCTGAAAAGGGATAAAGGCAAAGAAGCATGGCTGCAGTTTGTACTTTTTTCTGCATTGCATTGTCTAATTAATATTGTCAATGCTTATTAAGAGAAGCGGCAATGGCGTTCCATCAATAAAGCGTAGAGCTACAGTAGGATTATCACATAAAACGCGCGTCCAAGCTATCGCCCTAGGCTCCCAGCCTGACTAAACTCACTGCAATTAATCTATTTGTATAAGAGCTAATGCAGCTTATTTTCTACTTAGTTCACCCTCTTGTGGATCTTTGAATACCACCCTGAAAGCCATCATTCAACCAAAGCCAGCTACAATGCCAGAAATAGGCCGGGGGTGTCAAAGGCTATCCAGTTCCTCCAAGTCCGCGAAACGCGTTGTCACCTTCTCGAACGCCAGTTTCTGGAGGTCCGGGACATCAGCGGCTAGTCACTTGCCTACAATCGTCGATCTGACCATTGCTTCAAGGTGGATGTGATAAGGCAGAAATGCGGCGCGACAGCTACCAATCAAGCTCCTGAAACCCAAATTCTTATGTGAGAGAATCAGGAGAAAACGCACTGAAAGCACCAGTGTACATAGACATATAGACATTGCTACTGACATATCTCACTATATGAGGCCAGGCTAGTCTGGAATGGTGTATGCAAAACCTTGGATAACTCACACCAGTATAGTCACCCTCACTCCATGGGATGAATCAAGGTGCAACTATGATCCCTATGATTCTTATATCTGTGGCATGTAAATTAAAACCACATGTCTACTGCTATTAAGAATCACCAAAAGATGGTGAATAAGAAGAAACCTTACTCTAAGAAGTCTGTTAATAGTGAGCCAAATCTGCACCTGAAGCAATCTTATGCAAGCTGATCAGAGTAATCTCTCAAAGACTTACTGATTGAATATAATTAGCCTGAATTATTATATATCTCCTGATGTTTCGCTGCTATAATTTATTTAGTAGAGACTGATAGCTTAAATATAGTCCTTATAAGTCTCTAACCATCATTATTTGAATAGGACATAGAACATAGGACATATAGGATTCTAGCATGCTACATCCAAAATTACCCATAGTTTAGCAGTTCCTCTTTATGTGGACCACATTATATCCTTTCTAAGGTGGATGAGGAGGTTGGTCATACTGTTATGCACTTCTTGTGCACTGGTAATTATGAAATACTCTAGATGGAATCTGAGCCAGGTGTGTCTAAGATGGTAATAGAATACAGAAGGAGCATGCTTATCTACTAAGCAGCTAGAGAATATAGTTTATATGACCTGGAGATGTATATAAAGAGGTACATTAAGATGTTTAGTAAGTTGATATCTATTTTTGATAGAATAGAGGCTGCAAGAGAGATATATTCTAAACTTCCCTAGGATAAGACTTAACTTACTAGCTACATTAACAAATAATTTTAAATTGCTTTCTCACTGGACCAAAATAGCTTTTAGCACAAAGAGTGAGTTCTACCTTGGTATTGGGAAAGACCCTGCTTTTGATAAAGCTGTAATGAGAATGGCTGTGAACATCTACTCTGAGGTACTGCCTAGACAGGTTACTAAGACTACCCGAGGGGGGGGGGTGTTGCTGAAGAGGGTGCTATATGCTAAGTAGAATATAGAGAAAGATAGAAACTTATAGTATTTAAATAATAAAGCTAAGGAGTTAAATAAATAAAGTACAGATAAGAATAAGAAAAATAAGAAAAAGAAGGTGGAAGAACTGGCAGTGCCAGTGCCAGAGATGTAGATGTTAAGTAGTGTTAGTTTACTATAAATGGTATGCCTAAAGGAGTTTTCATAGTTTGCATAATGAAGTTGTCCTTAATTATTATTATTTGCCTACTATTTAAGTCCCCTCAAGGTGTGGTAGTGTTGTGGACGACCTTAAGAAGGCAGCTCTAAATATATAAAGCAGTTTCGCGCAGCAGCCGGCTCGATTCTAATGCCCGTTAACAAGGTACGACGGTGTCCCTTGCGATACTGTAGGAGTTGATTCGGCCGCAGCAGCCGTAGACCTTTATCCCACACCCTTAATGCTTCAATATCCTAGGATACTGAATAGCATACTTCGCCCTCAGCCATCGAATGGTAGTCGACGATGAGATGAATGTGATGTATTATCCTGCAACAACGAAGACAAGCAACCCTTAATAAGTTACTATAGCTAGTTTCAAAACACTTAAGGGCCTCAGATTAATATTTTAAGGGCTTTCAAGCACTTTACTGCAGGTTTTGTACTACCTTTCTATAGTTGTCTAAGATAGTGTCTTTTTAATGATACTAGGGGAGCTCTAGGGTGATACTTAATGAGGTGTCCTGTAGGTGTAATCTCATTGCCATCTAGGCAACCTAAGCATATACACAGCCATCGTGCGCACATGATTAGCGCAAATACAACACTAGAACCAGTGACAATAGAAAGACTAGGGAGTGGGGGCGGTAGTAAGGCTTATTCAGCCTTAGAGTTGTTGAAGTTGCAGTTTGCAGTATCTGCATCTTGCTCCTTTAGATGGGTAAGTTGAGCAACCAAATGTTGTAGAAGGCTGTCCATGGATCAATAGCTCTCAAGTTAATGGGTTTTGCTACAAGCTAGGGATAACCAGGCAAAACGCCTTTCTTTTTCCTCCTGCGATCTGGATGAATTCACCCGATGTCAAAAAAGGGGGCAACATAATCAGCTTGGCCAGCTCAACAACAGGTTAAGGCTGACAGCTGGAAAGGAAACTGCGAAGTGGGGACAAGATGAGAGGGGCAGGCACAGCCGCAATTTCCGATGGGGAAAAAAGATGGGGGTTAGTGATAGCCATTTGGGCAGATGAAACGACGGCAGCGACCGGAAGGGTGTAGATTATTTGGCAGAGAGGGGGTGAAGAAGAAGTTGGGAGAGAGGATGGTTAGAACAGCAAGGGGATGGTTCTTATATACTGGAGGTCCTGATGGGGCGGTGTTTACAAGATGGCGTATCGGGAGACCATCCAAAACGACAAACTAACCACAGGAGGGAATTCACAGATCCTCGCTTTACAATGTACATTTGAACTAGTGAAATTTCTGTCGGCCTGGGGTGGAAAGGCTTCAGAGTATGACCGTCTAATCAATCTATCACTATCTTGAGCTTTCCACGCCGACGATCTACGCAACTATGTAACGCAGACCCCTTCTCCATGGCAAGGAGCGCTGTGCTCTTGTAGTCAACTTCCCCTTGGCACACCTTGACCTTACAGGCGCCACAAGCGCCAGACTTGCATGAGTATACGATGTCAAACCCTGCTTCGTTCAGGATATCGAGCAAAGTCTTATTCGACGGGACTGTTAGCTTCTCGTGCCTGTTCGTGTCCGGTTCGTCGACCTCAACCTCGAAAGCATCACCCAGGTTGCCACCCTCGCCGCCCCCAAAGTCTTCAAAATGAACCATATACTCCGGGTACCCGAGCTGAGTGGTGATCCGTGCACATTCTTGCATCATGCGTGATGGTCCACACGAGAAGATACGGGCCTGGTAAGCATTATCCGGGCCAGGCTTTGGTATGACATTTCCAATGTCAAGCCGTTCACGCCTCGAAGTGGCATATAGTGTAGTCTTGTCGGCAGGGAGTTGTTCTAGAAACGCGGCCTCTTCCGGACTCCGCACGGCGTAATGAATATGGCATGGCACGCCTTTACTCTCCCAGTCACGGATCGACAGGAGAAAAGCGGTTATGCCGATGCCCCCGATGATAACAACGCACGTCAAATTCTGGTCGCATTTTTGGTCATTTTCTTGCGCGCCGCTCATCCATTGGGACGGACGTATGTAGCGGGGGAAGAAAGAGGCGAGGTATTCGAGGGTTTTCTGGGCTCTGCGTCAGAGATAAAACCCCCGGCGGCAAAATCGGTAGCACCAAATATCCCCCGGGCTAACCGGAACGCTCACTTAGCTTTAGCAGAACACATCGGGGGTGGGGTTTGGGGGGGGTAACTCCACGCCTAAAGGAGCCGATACAACTCCACCGATGAGGCATACAAGGCAGCTACACGACCGCCTTTCGTGGAAGAAGCCACCATTCTTGCCCAGTTCCGGCCAGGATAACTTGGTGGAATGAATAAGGACAAAGCGGCTACAGTGCACGGATACTCATAGGAGCAACATGTGCTTCTACTTGGGTGGCAAGTCACCCTCAGACGTAAATTCTAGGGCCCCAGGCGTGAACACCATGGGAGCAGGGATACGTTTCGCCACGGCCACACGTCGACTGCATATGAACCAGTCTTCTTACCGACGCGGTCACTACTAACATACGGGGGTACGTGCAGAATGGAGTGCCATAAAGCTGGAACCAGAGCATAGAGGGCCTTTGGGTGACCATGAATCAACTAAAAAAAATAAATGCAATCATAGGCTTAACGATAGTTGCTTTCTCGGCTCTGCCACCTGGGCGTTAATCAACTGTCTGAGTTGTAACATGGTGCATCCATGCACGCACGCAAAAGACACATGTCTAGACCAATCACCAAATTGTGTGAATCACAATGGGACAGGATGGCTGGCATCACGATCATGTCGCATGGTTCCTCTCATCTTAGCCTCTATGCTAATATCCTATCGTCTGGAATCGCCCTCTTCTCCTCGTCTGTCAGATGCACGTTGAAGATTTCAGCCAGCGCCTGCAAACGCTCCTCTTCCGTCTTACACTCCTTGATTACCTTGCGGTTGGCGCCAATGGTTTCTCTGACGGTGTCCTTGAACAAGGTGACATCACCCACAATCATCTCCTTGGCCTCGTCCATGAGCATTTTCGTGCAGGTGACGTATTTGGTGAAGAAGGATCTCGGGTTTGTCGACGTGAACCAGGACATGACTTCGTAGTCTTGGGGCAAGAACTCAGTCTCCGTGAAGCAATAGACCGGCACCCACTCTTTCTTGGCGTCATCAGCTGGGTCGTAGCAGACGTCGAAGCACCACATCTTCGGCGGTCCTATGCTGTTGGCGGAGTTGGTCGCGTACGACTCAGGTATAGACCGTAACTGCACGCGAATTAAACGTGGGGGGATGCTGGTCGTCTCAAATCCGTCGCGCAGCGGAAATGGGAGGTTGGGGCCTTTGGAGCCCATTCCCACGTCCACGACGTACCACTCGTCGTCCAGCCGCACAAGATTGAGCATGTGGTTCCACCCGTCATAAGTCGAGCCCTGATTGCGCCGGACATCTGGGTAGGGACTCATTGCCCGCGCTACGCGGCCTCCGCAGTTGCGCACTTCATAGCCGAGCGAGCGAAGGACGGTCCCGAAAAAGCTGTTGTTCTCCATACATCGCCCGCCGAGCCGCCGGCGAACTATCTTCATGTAGAGCTCCGCCAGGTCAAGCGTCACGGTCTTGTGTGTCGAATAGTGCAGTACGAGATTGTCGAAAGGGACATTGCATGCGTGGTGCCGTGTCAGGGCCCGCAGCAAGGGCAGCCCATGCTCTTTGGTTCCAGCCTGTGTCGCGTCTTTCAGCACAGCCGAGTCCAGGTACTTTTGTGGGAGCTTGATGCACTCAAAGTAGTCGCGCAACTCGGCATCGCTGTAGCGTGGACGGGCGTCCTCGTCCAACGGAAGCTGGGTGAGCACGGTGGGCGCAGAGTTGGATGACATGATGGGGTAGTCTGACCAGTAACGGATGACACTTGGATCATACGGAACTCCTGCAGAACGTTCCCGGGATGGATATTTAGAGTCGTTATAACGGAAGATCTTCTGTGGCCGGACCGGAGATCCGTGAGCAGTGCGAGCAGCGAGTCGAAGGGCATGAAGCGATTCTTACCGAGAGTGCGCGGGGTAATTATACGTCGAACGTGGAGCACCAGGGAGATAAGTCGGGCCAAACCCCGCACGGCGAGTCGCTCAGCCAGGAACCTGGCTACTTTCCGTATAATTTTTCTGTCATTGCCAATGAAGAAGTATACTTTCGATTGATTTCCGTTTATTGTGAAGTAAACACCGAGTAATCAAAGCCTTGGTGAACAGCCAGAAGCGAAGGGAAGCGCCAGCAGCCAGTGAGTGCATCGTATGGTTAACAGAATTCAGAAATTCGGATTGTACCACTTTGTACTGCTCAACTCAGCCTCCTAGATAGACATATCTCAAAAGCCTCCACGAGGAGAGCCATCTTAAAATCCATTGCCCAAAGTAATCCCCTCGACCGGCGATTGATGGAAGCCCTCGAAGATAGAGGGGTCGAACATTTCGGGGGCGACAGGCTGGAATGCCTCCATGTCCTCTACGTTAAGGAGCACTGGCTCTGCCAAACCAGTGGCAGGATCAATGGTGGATTGGCTGTTAAATACTGCCAGATTCAAGGTCGAGTCAGTATCAGAGCGGCCCTCGGATGTATTTAGTGCGGCTCCTGTTACGTCGTCAAAAATAAGCTGTTTGTGATTCGCAATCAGGAGAGCAAATGGGCACGGCGACTAACCTTTGATACTGCACATCCTGGCAAGTCTGCGAATGTATTCCAGGCAACTCAAGACCAGACTGTTTTCATAGTCTAGCTCGTGGAATATCGTTTCTGCCTTACTAAGTAACATCTTCGAGTCTTTGACAGCTGCCTCGTCCACCACGCTCTCTCCATGCTGTGCCCACAGTAGGCGGCCACTGATGACCAGTGAGGCAGTGAAGACTTGTGGGTGTAGCCGGTCAGCATCCCAACGAAGCCTGGCTTTGAAGGAGGCTCACCGTAGTATAGCGTGAAAAACCACACCCCAAGATTATTCTTGCTCATTGAATCCGCACTGATAATGGAATGGACAATTTCAATGGTAAGTTGTGCTGCCCGTATGCATTCGTGGGCCTCTGCCATGGCGAGCTGTATCAAATATGGCGGGCTTCCACCGGCCGCACTTTTCGCCCGGAACAGGTGACGTATGGTGGCGCTGAGTATCTGTTTGTGTATGAGAATCGCAAGATTATGATACCTAAGCGTGAGAATAACACGAAACCGATTCGCGGGAGTATTTTGCGAAAGTACGCTGGAATCCCGCTCGCAGAGATGCAGATACGATGGTAGGCTCGCCGCCCAGACTTGGAGCATTTTCCGGAGGTCGCCTGAGGCTTTGAGTGAAGCTATGTCGTCCGGATTCGAGTCGGCGTTCTCAAGGTTCGCCCCGTACTGATTAACGAGGGACTTGGCCATCACCTGATACAGCCTGAACGAAACAGCAAGGAATTCACCAGGTAAATCAACGCTACCGTGGGGGCCATTCGAAGCAGATGGAGATAATCCAGGCACTAGCTCTCGTCCGGTCATCTGTTCATCTGGGATGCTTGCTGGCCTGCCAAAGGCCACGCTCAGGACCTTGTCTAGACAGTATATTACTACCCAAGTCCGGCGGCGATATTCCTCGTTGACGGAATCGACTGCCCTCCCGCTAGAGTCACTATGGAGTCCTAACGCTATGGCTGACCGGATGACAAGCCCATGATTGTTCCAGGCCTGCACCGAACGCTGAGTCCCCTGGCAGTGGATGACGACGAGGAGCAGATAATGGACCATCTCGAGGCTGATGACACGTCTCGACAGGTCGCCACAAAGTTCCAGGGCCCTCTTATAAACAACATTGGACCTCTCGAAGCGCTTCCTAGCCGATGCAACACGGTCTCTGTCGAAGCTGCTGGCCATGGCGAATATCATATTTAGAGTCCCTAACCAGGTCCTGCGAGCTCTGGTGAAGCAGAAAGCGGCAAGATCGATTGCTTGACCATGTGACTATCCTCCTGCAAGACTCCTCTCTTTGTTAACTTCCCAGGTGTAAAATTATGGCTTATAGTTGCTGCCTGAACATTGATAGCCCGGATAGAGGTCTCGAAACCGAAGTACACTGTTTTCTATAGAAGCGGCAAGGAAAAGTCTAGATCAAGATTTTAGGGTGGAAGCCTTCAAAGTTCCGAGAGCAGAGGGTACTGTACCTATTCAGGGAGATCCACGGATTGCGAACCTATTGGCACTCTTGAAGGAGCGCTGCGCACGGTTCCACAAAGGTCGGAGCAGCAGGGGGAGAACGGAGAAGTGTCGGGTCAGGAGTCAAACTCGGTCATATCTATCGATTCACAACGTCAGATGTCATCCAAACACAAATTTTGAACGTATATCAATAGAAACATGCCCACATCGCTGTTCTCTAGCCTGAGGAGAATATCTGCCGTCTCTTCCACAGTGGGGTACTCGGCGGTAACATATGTCCCCAAAGCAGCACGATTCTGATGCTTCGCCTTAATAAGGGACTGCTTAATATGCCGCATGGATGGTATGCACCAGGTTGCTCGACAGCAGACAAGAGCAGGTGCTACTTTACAATTGAAGAGCCTCAACAACGAAGACAGTGGAGAGAAGCCAGGAAGAAACCTGACTTTGTGTTTATTTCCATACTCACTTTTGATCCATTTTGAGCGCATGTCATGACTCATTACCAGCAGATTTATTTCCCTATCTTCGGACCCGAAGTGGCAATGAGATGAAGCATGGTAAGTAGTAGGAACCCAAACACCACCCCACTGGATGAATGACAGGTGTGGAAATATGCACACCGCTGACACAGCGGACACGGCAACCTGGCGTTGTCGAGGACAGTACAACATAAATAGCGGGTATACTGATCAACCAGCTCCGAAACTTAGGACCTTGCTTCTTACAACGTACGACATGGCTTCCTTCAATTATCACGCGCTCCCTGGCTTTGGAGAAGAATGTCGCGACAAATATGGGTTTAGCGATGCCTGCATCATCGGCAATCGGCTGATCGTCACCGGGCAGAGTAAGTCAGGGCGGAACCATTTCTATGGGTAGGGCTAATTATATTACAACAGCGGGTATGGATCCTTTGACCAAAAAGAGCTCCCCCAATGCCGAGGATCAGATTGCCCAGGCATTCAACAACGTCAATGATCTGATTATCCACAGTCTCATTCAGGAAGGTCATGCCATTGAGGAGGGCCGTACTGGCTGGGATTACGTTGTCAAGCTTCGCGCGTTCTTCGTAGGATTGTCCGGCATGCGCGTGAAAGCACGGGAAAATGTGGTCCACAACATCAAGAACTGGTGTCATCATCACCAGCCGTTGTTTACCATGGTCGGGATCGAAAGCTTGCCATTTCCCGAGCACCTTCTGGAGTTCGAAGTTGACGTGTGGATTCCGTGAGATGGTGCATTCGAGAACACAATTGGGCTTGCTAGCAACTGTATCTCACGGAAGATACATCATGGACTGGATGTCCTCGTGTTGAATAAACCTGGCATGCCAGTCATACCTGATTGATCTATTTTCTCATGTATCTTGTGGCCGCTCGCAAACGCTCATGGGATTTGATAATAATCCTGGCAATCAGTGCTATGTCTAGTACCGGACGAAGTTTGCACCTCTGACGACACTGGCTATCCGAAGCGTCACAATTAGATTTTGAAGTGCCCCTGTAACTCCCTGGAGCCTTCTTAGGTAGTAATATCATCAGCAGCTTCCCCAGAGGTCATTTTGTAACTCTTAGTCTCATTGCCCTCGGGAGACCCGGGGTTGGACCGGCCAACCCAATCTATCAGACTCGAGAGCAGGTGACGGCCTGAACTAACTAGATCTACGTCTTAGGTAACGTGAGAGCATCGGGCCAGGCGGATTTTGATCAGCCGGCCGTAAGTATGGGTCTGATTTGCGCAGGGGAATCTTAGCTCGGGAAGGGTAACATCTCAACTTCCGTGCTGATAAATACCTTCCGGAAAGTCCGGGGTTGATCTGGCTATGAATACGGCGGTTAATTCATAAGATCCGGAGGAACTGAATAACATCTTCCCTTCTATCTCACGGTTGATCGTCTTCACGGAGCTACCATGCTTGTTCTTGTCGCCGAAATCACTGGGAAACTGGGCGGTCGGTTGGCTTCGGCTGCACTCCAGCGAGGCTTGCAAGTCCGGGGACTAGGGCGCAGCCCTGATTGTCTCGACCCTGAACTCGCTGCTAAGCTAGAATCGTTTGTCACAAGTACCTCTTAGTACGACATACCGGCTCTAGAGGAGGCCGTAGCATCCGTTAATGCTGTCGTCTGTGCATTCGCGCCGACACCTGTTTTGGATGTTGAGGGATATCTGCTGCTTGTACGGGTAATTTACCTTCAGTTCTGCCCTTGCGCATCCCTTCGTCCGCGGCTATAAAACCTTCAATATGCTTCTGTCACTCTGTGAGGTCTAATATAGCCTTTATATGGCTGGTTTTCCTATTCCCTCCTAGCATGGCTGAGATGTCGCTGAATGCTTCTCCAGTCTCTCTATATAGAATTTGCCGTGGTATTCTTAGTTGGGTGGTTAAGTATGACATGGGTGATGGTTTCCTTAGCGCTATTCTCACACTTATCATCGTCTCGGAATCTATATAGCTTTCTATAAGGTGCCAGCCAGCAGTGGCCAGCCTGCAACTAGGTAAGGAGGTAGGCGCGCTTTTATGGCAATGGGTTATATAGTTATCGCGTGTGGATGGTGGGCAACTTGGCATTAATTTACTAGAGATGACTGCCCTTTTTACATGTCTTCTATTCATGTTCCTATTCTTAGTGAATGTTCTTTCGGATAGCTATCCTTTCTTATGAGACTAGGCGGCAAAAAGGATGCACTTTGTCTAGGCCAACTACTCCTTTAGCTAGCTTATCTGCTACATCATTCCCAGGATTATCACTGTGTCCTAGGATCCGCTGAAGGTGGACGGGAATGGCTTACAACTTGAGTTCTGAGGCAGCCTGCAGAATGGCATAAATAATCTATTGTCCTACTTATAAGTCCAATCATTATACGGTAGACTCAGCTTCTGATGACTGCAGCCGAAGAGTGTCCAAGAAGAGCCCTTTCCCCGGCTGTTGCTGGAGTGAGCTGATTGACGGTTGTTCGGTCTTCACTTAGTACCCGGATAGGCTATCCATTCATGTCGGGATACCCGAACGTAACCTCGCATACCTGCGCCGCGATCCCCGAATGATCCACATTTCGGCCATGGAACATAAGCATAGTAGACACTCAACAAATACGAACACGGGCCACGACTCGCGCTCATATGATCGGATATCCGTATTTAGAATTTTAAGTTTAGGCACACGATAAACATTCTAGTCTGACGTAGTCAGAATAGCCAGCCAGCAAGGTATAAATATCACCAGTCTCTTGACTCAATATCGATCGAGAAACCAATAAAGTCCAAAGCAAGACCCAAAGAACCCTGCAGAGTCCATCAATCATCAATTATCAAAATGCAAGAACCAACCTATGACCCGAGGTAAGCATCATCTGTCCACACACCAATCTCATCAACCCAAACCAACTCGCACAGCCGGCCCAAGTCAGCCCTGAGCATAGTCTACGCCTACAAGCTCGACAACTGTCCCGGCAAGACAATCGTTGGGTTACGTGTGGAATTCCCCCCCAACGGAACGACCCCACCCCACCGGCATGGCGGCGCCTCGGTCTCTGCCTATGTCCTCAGCGGCACGGTGCTCAACAAGATGAACAACGACCCGATGAAGGTTATCGAAGCAGGAGGCACCTGGTATGAAGCTCCGGGTTGCCATCACCGCATCAGCGACAACGCTAGTGCGACTGAGCCGGCCACCCTGATGGTGGCCATGGTGCTAGACTCGGATGTGTATGACCGTGATGGGGTGGCAGCGCTGATCCAGATCGATGAGGAGTATCGGTAAATAGAAACACCGAGAAAGTCTAGGTACTCTCGGAGAAAGGAGAGCTATCACATATCTTGGACATGTGGAAGTTTACAGAAGAAATTTAGAGATTTTGTCATTGCTAAACATATCAATACTGGCACCCGCCGGTGGTATACCGTATGATGTAGAGTCCACCTGTAACGAGCTTAGGAAAAGATCTAATCACATTTCTTTCTTTCCGAATTAAATATCTCGAGTAATTGTACCAATCTCCTGATAGATCTGCTTCCCCAACCGCCAGTGTCGGCTCGACCAGCTCTCCCCGCAAGAGACGAATCCAGAGGCTGGCATATAAACGATAGACCTATAAAGAGTAGTAAAATATTTCGGGAAAGTCAACAGTTGATCGCATGGCATGTCCTTACACACGGCTGATGTGCAGGGTATTACCACGGCTATTGGTGAGGTAGAGACCAGTTTGCGTCCAAGAACATGGAATGACTAGCTGTTTTTGCGTGGAGAGCTTAACTCAAACAATATTCTTTGACTTTGGACGTAAATTTCTGTCCTTGTTTGCTTTGACCCGCCTACGATCCAGGGACCAGACAGACTAGACCCAGATCAAAAGATGCAGCGATAGGTATCCCTATATCCAAATAACAACCTTCCCGTAGCCAGAAGCCCTTGAACTAACCTGTTCATACGCTTCCTGAGCCTGTGATAGCTCAAACTTTTGCAGCACAAACAGCTTCAACCGGCCTAAGGCCGCCAAGGTCGCCAATTTCCCCAGAGCTTCAGCATCACTCTTAACAATAAAAAATAAAGCCCTCACATCCTCCTTCCCCTTACAAAACCCACACTTTCTATGTTCATTCACAAAACCAAAACTCGCCGAATCAACTGATATCAATGTCCCATATCTCGATATCCAAGACCAACATCTTCGGAGAATCTCACCCCCAACAGTATCGACAATGAGGTCAAAAGACCCTTCGATATTCTCCCCCAAGGCAGAGTACTCTACCACCTCATCAGCCCCCAGCCTCCTAAGAAACTCTCCATTGCGCTCGGTAGAGCTAGATGCAGCCACAACATGCAGACCCGCAATCGCAGCCAGCTGAACCAGATAAATACCCACACCACCAGAACTCCCGGTAATCAAAACCCGTTTCCTAACCATCTCTTCTTTCCCAACAGCATCCGGAAGAGGGAGTCCCGCATGCTCAAACAAAGCCTCAAAAGCCGTCAACCCGCTGAGCGGTAGACAAGCAGCCTCCTCCCACGTCAGGTTTTCGGGCTTCAGTGTGGCCTCGTGCTCATGCACGATCGTATATTCAGCCCATGTTGAGCCTCGATCGGCATGTGTCATTCCGAAGACTTCATCGCCGCGTTTGAATTTGGTGGTGGTGGTGCTATCCTGGTCGACGAAGACGTCTTCTACTATCCCGGAGAAATCGTTGCCTGGGATCGTAAATTCGGTCGCGTATGTTTCGGGCCATGTTAATGCATCGCGGATGGCTGTTGTGGCTTTCACTCTGATTAAAATTTCTCCTTGGCGGGAAGGTTTGGGGATTGGGATCTTGTCTAGCTTCAACGCAGATGGTGGAGCTGGGTTGGTGGGGGAGTAGGGCTTTGAGCCGTTGGGGGCGGGATGAAGGCGGACGGCTTGCATTTTCTGACGAGTCTGAGATGAAGGGTTTGGTGGGGAAATTAAAGGAATGTATGGGGATGGGAGAGCTCTCGTAGATTTAGTAATGCGTTTGAGTGTAGATCGTGGTAATGAAAGTGGGCATTCGTGATGCATATATACATTTAGCATGATTACAAGAGTTAGGAGGCGGAGTGAAGAATAAATATTGAATCAGAATAAATGCTATCGTGGATCATGAGTAAATGCTATTTGGACTCCTACCGGAATTGCTGGCTAGGGAAACTCCCTCCATAGCAATAGCCTATTGTTGATAGCCTACCGTTGATCGATAGGGAGGTCTCCGGGAAAACTGTTGCCAAATACGATTGCCAATTACGGGATTATCAATTTCTCCCTTGTCCTTTGAACCATACAATATGTCTATTAAGCCGTTGTTTCGGTATTTCACGACCTTCACCAGGCGCGGGTATCCGGGTATGAGTGAGCGCGAAATAAGATCCCTCATAGAAAGACATGGTAATGATCGAGTGTCTTGATATTTAAGGTGGACCAAATCAGGTTGCCTTCTCTATCACGAAATGCATGTTGCAAGGGTATTTGTTCATTATCAATCGTTCTATACCAGAGAATGCCGCGGGCAGCAGCGCTCACTGATCCGAGGTACTCAACACAACCACCTCCCATAACATTCATACTATTTCAACAGGTAGAAATAGTAAATATTAAATTACATATTACGACCCTTCGCCCATACCCCACGGGATATCAGCCAGATCACCAAGGCCATACCATCCACACAGATCCTGGATAGAGCTGAGAGAAGAAAGGATATCAGCGTCGCTGCTTAGTACATCCGTACTAGAACTCAGACTTCCTTCTCCACCAGAAGCATGCAAACCTTGGGTGGAATTCGACGCATCGCTATTGCTTTCCACCCTAGACCCAACGCCAAGCACATACTGACCAATCGTCTGTAACTCGCGGACATTTCTCGCTGTTCTCGGCCACACCTCGCCAAGGACCTTGAGACACCCAATGGTCATCCTGATCTGATCTCTTGCGATTGCTAGATCTTTCCCCTTAAATAGGAATCTGCAGGCCGAGAGCAGCGCTAGTGTCCCCTCGCTCACCATGCAGGTGGTAAAAGGGCTGTGGCAGAATTCTTGCACGGGTAGGGCAAGGAGGCGGATTTGTGCCTCTGCAGACCGCAGGACTCGGACGGTGTGTACATTGACAAGATCTGGGGTAGGGGTATCCAGGGGTGCTTCTCGGGCACAGCTGGAAACGTCCTCTATGGCATTGAATTTGAGGGTTGAAAAGGGCCGGTGCAGGCCGATAGTTGCGCTAAAAATTTATTAGATCGTGTAGTGTGCAAGTAGGATAGATAGGAGATACTTACACGTGAATTAGTAGGTGAGCTTGGAACATGAGCTCGTCAATTTCCCCAGTATTTGTCATGACTTGCTTGTAATCCGCCGGTAGTAGAAGTCGCCATCCATCTATACTGCAGTCAGCAGCTTGGATGACATGCGTTGAGTCTTCTTTGACGGCTTTCTTCGGTATCACAGATATTGCGGATGCTGCGCATTGTACGGCGCCGATAAGATAGGCAAAGGAGGAAAACTTGGTGCCCTCAGGGCTGAATTCGCGGCAGTTGAACTCTTCAATGGTTTTGGGCTCGGGAATATTCTGTACTTGAGTCAGCTCTTTAACCTACGAGACACCGGGTTAGAGAAAGCGATGTTGCTAATACTAACCCCGGACTCATACTCAGATTCTTCACAAGGTAACTCGACAGTAGCAGCGATATCCACAACCGCCATGTTCATCGTCCCCAGAGTACCGGCGTAGTACGCATCTACGATGAACAGCATCCACCATGTTCGCCTCCAGCTTTCCTTCAGCACGGGGTCATCGGCTCCGTGCGACGCTGCAAACTCTTGGCGAAACATTTGGAGATCAATGGCAAGCTTGGTTGCACTGTCCATTTCCTTTTTGGCATCGGCCTTATACTCGTACCAGAAGAGAGCCATAGAATATAGAAGGCGACATTGGACCATGATTGGGTCGGATGCGGCCACTTGTGCAAAGCAGGTTTCTGTGTACTCCTGCAGCGGTATTGACCAACCTTTTGAGGTATAAATGTCCCCGATCAAGCGTAGAACTGCAATGAGTGGCGTGAACCTGGGCTGCCTGACCGGGTCTTGGTACATTTTTGCGAGGTGCTTCCGCGGCAAAATGAAGGGATGAGATTTATGAAAGTTCTTGTAGTAAGCATCGACCAGGGCATCGTCCTCGATGCTAATAATTTGAGCTGCGCTCGCTACTATCAATGGAATGTTTGATGTGCCATTACCACTCAGGGTCGTATCGAGAAGGGTCGAGTCCTGGGAGAAGTCGACCTCAGCGGGTTGGACAGCACGTTCGTGGACCTGTCCGTTCGTTGTGAATCGTTGTGGACTTGAGTCGTCAACAGATGAAGTGCTTCTAGGGCCATCAGTCGCAGTGAGTCTTTTGCGACGCTCTGCCAGCGCTGCGCGGTCCAGCCCACCGCGACGTGAGGGAGCATAGCTGCACTGCTTGCCCGCATCAGTGCAGCGGGCGCAACACGGACGTTTGCCGTCGCATTTCAAATGACGTGAGCGGCAAGGGAGACAAGCCAGCGAAGATCGCGTAGGCCGTCTGCTCTGCAAACTCGATGTAGAACTCATGTTGTGTCCGGAGTTTGTGGCTAATAGTTGGTCGCAGCTCAGTGAGAAGTGCGGGTATTCGGGTATCCGATTGAGTTCTGAGTAATCCTTGGCATCTCTTTAGTAGGTGGCCGGTATTTGCCCTATTTGACTCCTGAACATACTTCCCAATCATGTAACTATTTCACCTCGTAATTACATAATATAATCTATCGTGTCTATAGTAAATTTTACAGAACTTTTGATGGACTCCTCCACATTCCTGCCTGTATACGAGATATAAATTCGGATAACCCACGATCTGCATGCACATGACGAGGGGTAAGCACCCGTCGCTAATCCTCTTTTCTCCTCATACGGAATTGATACACCTGACCAGATCTGACTAGTTAGGCCATGGCTTCCCTGGCATCTCTCAATAAAGATTCCTAAAGCGTACGAAGCCCTCCTGGTGGTACCGATCAGTGAAACGATTCCCTTGGGGCCACATTCATATTGATGTATCCATATCCACACCATCCGGATGCCGGAGTCCTCTTCTTTCGTCTCCCACTATTGTCGAATTGCACCATCCAGATTTGCTGTCTCATAGAGAACTGTGTCATTGAGACTGATCGGTTTGACTCGCTTGTCCTCTCCCCAGCAGTAACTTAGAGCATACTACGCCGGTGCGGATTTGAGATTGGGTGTATTGGCTTCCTCAATCAGAGCATCCAGGTGACTGTCAGTCGTACGAAACAGTCTGGTTTGTTCCTGATCTAGAAACCTGTATTGCAGAATGGAAAGCACCGTGCCTAGTGAGCGAAAAAGACAAAAGGTATATTTTGCGTCAGTATTGGCAGTGGGATTGAAGAGCGAGCGAGCGAGGAAGACCTCTCCTCCTCTGACATTTATAGACTACCGCTCAGTACGGATAGATATAGCGCCAGTTAAAGCAGACGGACCCAATGTCCGGACCGAAAACGTGAGACGCTTAGGGGCAATGGATTGGCTACGTCACAAGGCTTTGCAGGGCATTTCTAGCTCACGTCGGAAAGATACAAATTCCTCACAAGGATCACACCCGCCAACGCCGAAGCAGAACAGGTCTGGTAGCTGTCCACCACATAGTTGAGGATACTCAGGATGGCAATGTAGATGCCTGATCAAATGAAAGACGAGGCGATGATGGGCACGATCCAGTGCACGGATCGGTAGCTTGTCCAGCCGAACCAAAAGAGACTGATCGGAATAAATATCGCTCCTAGCCGGGCCATCCACATGCGTGCTTCGGGGACGCCCTTGCCGTCGCTTTCTTTGACTCGGCGCAGGTAGTACCGTTCTTGGAGGGGATAGAAGCAGAAGGCGATGATGGGGCCGATGGCCATACAGAGGAAGGCGAGGCCCTGCTCGCCGATGTTGAAGCCGTGGCCCTTGCCAGGACCGAAGACGACCGGGAAGGCCTCGTTGAAGAGATAAACCAAGCCGTAGAGTGCTTGGTAAGATGATTGACTAAGGAGCAGAATTTTCGGTATTACGATCGTAGTTGTGTCTCCGAGAGATGAGGAATGTGGGTTAGGTCTCACTGTGGAGTTGACGCAAGGGATATAATCAGTCAATAATGGGAGATCCCTAGAAACCGTACTTAAATAATTCAAATAAAAGCAGCTCAATCATCGCAAAAATCAGATTCTTTCTAGTGGCTTTTGGACCAATATCTCCGACTGTCCGCCACCACCTTCTCCTCCCATCCACTCACCGGCCCAATAACTTCCACCTCAGTCTGGCCACTTTGGAAGACCGTCCGACAAGGCAAGTCTAATGTGAGATTCTCGGGATTTCCCTCCCCGACAATGCCTTGCAAGGCTTTCTCCGACGCCAGATACACCAACCGTCCGATGTTCGCCCAGTAAACCGTGCCCGCGCACATCGCACAAGGCTCCCAGGTGGAGATGAGCGTCGACTGGGCGAGATACTCGCGCGCGAAATTATCCGCCGCGTTGCGAGCCAGTTCAGCTTCGGCGTGTCGGACGTGCGACAGAGACAGAGAGGACATCACAATGGTGCTATTATCTGGCGCCAGCAGCAACGCGGCAAACGGTCGTTTCGAGTGGATATCTTGCGCTGTTCTTTGTAACTCTAGGCATGCAGCGGCGCCGGCAGACAATTGTTGATCGGTTAAGGGAAGCATGGTGTGAGGACAGGGTAGATTGAAAACTGCGATATCAAATATAGTTTTCGATCGTTTGAGAGAATATCCATGGTTTTTAAATCGTGGAAAACGGCGACTTCCGATATTATCTCCGCACGGTCGAGAGTCGTTATTACAGGATGAATTGTAATTATGAAATTGCTCCACACTATACATTACACGATGAGCCGAGGTCAGAACCCATCGTGTATCATTGCTGATCAGTACAAGCAAAAGATCGGGCAAGAGGATGTCTTTCAACTTTCTGTCGCTAGCGATTGTGTTGATCATCGCAGGAATTGATGAGCTCCGGCCAGGAAATTTCTTGTATATTGTACACCATTACATACCCAGAATCTGCTCCATCTGATAAAGGACAACAGTTGCAGCAAATTAGGTAAATGAAATATCTCTTAACTAAAGGGCCTGGGAGAAAAAAAGCGTATGAATGAGTAGCATTGACTTCTCCCCTCTGGAGTAGCAGTAATGGTGAGACAGCCTTGTACTTGGAAGCTTGGGCTTAGATATGATGTAGAAATCAGGATGGTCAGAGATCTCTTCAAATCAAAGAGCCTACAATCGGCAGCATCTGTCTAGAAGAGGGACTTTCACCAACTGATCTATATTAAGACTGAACACCATACGTATTAGCTTATTGGTACCGACTGTAGTAGGACGTCTACAGCTTCATCATCAAGAGGTAGAAAGACGCATCTAAATGCAGCAGAAAGATAAATGGTCCTCATTAGGGGAGGTGAAGGAATTTAGAGTCTTTGCCGATGTCTAAATCAATGTGTCATATAACTAAAGGCATCGGATGGTGACATAGCTCGCTCTGACAGAAAAGAAGCAATCATCCTACGCAAGTGACACGATCTACCACCACTTCCTCAAACCACAGCACTTGACTCAAGTCATCATGCCATTGATTCCTTGATGAGGAATATCAACAGCTATTAGAACAGTTATGCAGACCTGCACAAAATTGCAAATGGCTGCAGGTAACATTGATCAACGCCCTCCTCTAGAAAGCGGTGCTAATAAAGAGTTAGCTGTCCAATCAACTCAAGGTCAACCAAGTACCTACTGATAAAAGCTCATCAACAGTGGCGTTTACTAACCCGTGACAATTACCACAGAATGTTTCACTGTTGGGGATCCTCAATGAACAAAAAATCAAGGTGTATTAACGTCTGTTACTGTGATCAGACATTCTTAGAGATAATATCCTAAAAAGTAAAGGCACTCCAAAGTTGAGCAAGGAGTAACGTCGGGCCAATCAAATTATAGTAAAATGCAATCAAGCTCATTCAAGTAGAGGTCATAGCAATTGCTGTCTGCGCTAACATACAGGGTTTATTGAGATTTCTAGTCACTTGCTGCAAAGGGGTCCTTCTCAGGTCCTACCATTCTACTCTAGGCAAGCTTCTCGGCGATAAGCTTCTTAAGGTCTGCTGGTGTCAATTGTTTGATGCCCAGCAGCTCATTATCCGTCACATCAAATGCCCCACCATAAGTATCACCAGCGAGCGCGGTGCCTTTCAGCAGTTTCATGAAAGCCGGCATACTGAAGTCACCGGCACCAAATTGTTCCAGACTTTCCTGCAAAAGCACGCTTGTCTGCTCGTTGGTAGTCCTCCACTTGATATCAGGCCTAAGCTCCTTTGCAAACCCAAGCACTTGGTTTTGAGTCAAAATTGCCTCTGATATGCGTATGACTTTGTTCTTAGTGGCGTCAAAGTTTTGTAGGATTGCAACGATAGCTCTCCCAACCACAGGCAAGGAGGTAGAACTGATCCGATTGTCGCCTTCGTCGAGCATGGTCACAGCATGGTTCTGAAAGTCCAGCAGAATTGGAGTGTTCAACACAGAGTCCAAGAAGGCGCCACATGCAAGAACTGTCCATGACAACTCTCCAGCTGCTGCCTTTTCCTGGAGATACTTCCGAATCTTAAACATGGAACTGTAGAAGGGAAAATTTTCGAGCTTCGGATTGGTGGTAACGCTGCCAAATTCAGAAGGAATAAAACGTTTCACTCCTGCGGCAATGGCGGCGTCGATGAGCACAGTTTGATTGTCGACCGCTGCACCACCCACAGTGGATACGACAGCGTCAACACCTTCAAGGGCAGCGGTCAACGACTTCACTGAATTGAAGTCAACTTCGAAGACGTTGATGTTCGAGGCATATGCTCCAGGTTTCCGAGAACGAGTGAGAATCGAGACCCGAAAGCCTGCATTGACAAGTGCTTGGAAGACGTAGGGTCCGAGGGTGCCAGAAGCCTATAGGAAGTATCAGCCATTGGCTCTTATATGTTATTCGGAGTGCTTACACCAGCTATCGCAACAGTTTCAATCTTAGGCATCGTACTTAAAACCAGTGTTATTGTGAGAGCGCTTCAGAGGATAGAAAATGAAAGACGGAGAGACTTCTATCGCGGGATATAAGACCATTATATATTCACGTTCAAGCACAGATCTTACAAAGCATTCCAAGCACCTTACCAAGAGTCTACTATAAAGCCGCACCTATGTCCATGAAAGTCCGCACTGTTTCCGCTCTATTTCCAAGAATCCCGCCGGAGTCGCGACCGCAAACTCCGATGACTAAGCATTTATCACTTTGAACTTCCCGCCGGAATGCCGATTCACATTCCGCATTCCATCCGTTGAACCTAGGCAGGATAAACTCGTCAGAATGAATGATCGCCTTCGGGCGCACCTTGCCAGAAAGGCTTGCACACGATGTAGGTCCCAGAAGAGGCGATGCGATAGGGCTACTCCTGAATGCGGGCTATGCCGGAGGTGAGTGCTTGGTGAATTAGTATTTGGTAGCCGTGGAATTCCTAACCCAGACTCTAGGCTTCGTCAAGCCTGTCACTATGAAAGACGGGTGATATCATCTCCAAGTTCGACACCATCGTCCTCAGAGCTCCTCTCTGAAACGTTTGATCCGGGCCATATCAAAGACGCTATCGCTAAGAAACTCAGATCAGCCCCCAGCGATATTTTTTCGACATACATCCGATCCATCCATCCTTGGTTTCCTATTATCGCACAAACACTACAGGATCAGCTCCCGCCATCTTGGAACGAAGCTTCCCTGGATTACACGCTCCTTGCCCTCTGCATTAGTTTGCTTTGTACTTTCCCGCCTCCCTCTTCAGGAGACGGGACTCTATCTGAACTTCAGTCCGCGTACCTACATGCCAAGAGCTGGATAGCAGTGATCGAAGGACTCGGTATCACCTCGTTCAAGATCGTTCAAGCAAGGACTTTGATCACTCTATTCGAAGTTGCACATGGCTTCTACCCGGCAGCTTACATCTCTATTGGGACTACTGTCAGAGCTGCCGATGCGCTTAAAGTTCACCCTGACTTATATCCATCATCTTCATCCTCTACTACTGATGAGTCAGAGAGAGAGGAGGCTGTACTAATCGGGTGGGCAATCCGTATTCTGGACAGGTGCAAGCCTCCATTTATCCCATGAAACTATTACTACTCGCTGTACTGACCTATTTTAGATACGTAACAATACAATCTGGACATCATCCCTCTCTCACTCGCTCTCTCACCAAGGATGTCCATGATCCCAACAAAACCTCCTGGCCCACCAGGCTCGAGAAAGACACAAGGAGCCCTCTCTGGCGACTCTCCCGTACCTTCGAAGCGTCCACACTTCTTGATAACATACACAACGTGCTACACAACCCCACTTCAGAACAAGCATTCAACGTGGAAGAAATAGGGCTTTTGGTGGAGACGTCATATAGCCTCCGCACGCTCCTAATAGAAGAGGTTGAAGATGCGGACGAGATATACTCCGGCGGACTAGGACTTTGTGATACGTTAGTTGAGCCGCGTTCTTCTCTCCTAGGTCTTCTTGAAAAATTCGCCTCGCTTCGATGCTGATGTTGCACAGTGGCTTACTCCTGGCCTACGAGAACGGTACCAAAGCTCAGATCACCGATGGACAAACTTTCACTTGCCAATCACTTGCCACATCATCTCTAAACTCCATTCTCACCACCATAACTGACACGGTCTACCCCTTTGTCAGTGGTACACGAGCCATAGACTTGGACCGCCTTCCTCCATTTATCACATTTCTTGTGTACAAAGCGGCGGGCCTGGTGACAGAGAGGATGTGGATGGAATTTGACTCAACTGAGGCATTGAGAAAGTTACGGATTCTTAGAGAATTCTTAAAAATGGTGAAAGCAAGGTGGTTATGCTGCGGTACGTTGACCCAAGAGGTTCCAGGACTGGGTTTGCTAACGGCGCGTGAATAGAGCGTTATCTTGGCCTTCTTAACGAGGACACAACGCCGCGAATCTTAAAAGCTGTAGAGGCCAGGTAAAACTTTCTCTGATTAGTATTTAGATTTACGGGAGATTGGTGCCGAAGTCGATTGGGTCTGTAAGAATCATGAATAGAGTCAAGCTCTGTAGCCAATGTTCCGATAGCTCCTGTACTCTCTCATATGTCAGGTACACACGTGCACAGTTTGGGGCAGAGTGTAATGATTGGAGGAGCATGTCTGGAAAAATATATCCGTAAAGTCAAAATGAATTGAGTAGACAAGAGCGGTATGTATAAAAATGAGAGCAAGCATTTCTACATAAGCAGGCTAAATAGTCTCTACTTGGATGATATTGAACTGAATGAGCTTCCGCCTACTATACATTTCTTCGCCTCGTCGGGACTGGCGCATAACGAGATAATTGAGCTCAATATAAAAGTGAAACTGTGAAATGATGTGGCTACATTTGGGTCGACGACCTGTCATCGTCGTCCTGTGGTTGGGAATCAAAATCGGCATGTGGCAGGACTGCTGCCCAGTGCGAGCTCACTGGGGCTAGCAAATACAGTAGTCTTCGAAATCAGTTAGACATACACACTCTTGCAACTTCTTTACCAGAAGATAAATCAGAAATGCACTAATCCATTCTCGCTCACCGCTCTGTAATTTTGGTAGAACTGTAATGGTAATGGTCGGAGACCAACATACAGTCAGCGTTCCCCGCATCCTCACCTGTTTTACAAGGACAGTCCTTACCCCGGATCATAGTCACTGGACTGAGGTTCGGTCATAGAACCGGGAGGTTGAGACCGGATTTATTTGTTTATTGCTCTACGTTCTGTGCTCGCAGGTTTGAACATTTGCTTGTCTGTGGCCATGGCAGATTTTGATATATTTCCAGGCTTAACTCATAGCCGCACGAGCTCCCAGTCGATGCCAGACGCCTAGAGCGGGCTCGGTCGGAATGGCTGGAAGTCGACGATCTGCGAAAGCCTGTGAACGCTGCCGAAACACCAAGCGACGCTGTCGACCCCCATATCCGTGTACAGCATGTGTTAAGCATGGCCAAAGCTGCGTCGTCCGAGATAGGGCAAGGTAAAAAGCAGACAGAACATCTGGCATAAATCAAGTTAAATAAAGTGCGCAGGCCCAATCGTGCGTCGAGGCAAACGAGCGCCTCAATACCTCAAACACACAACTATCCAGCTGCATTTCAAGGTTCTGCAAGTCGAGATTCGTTTCAGTCATTTGGAGGCGATGAAGCGCCCAACGTTCAACACCTATCGCAAGCAGAGGCACAACCATCTCGTAACCCGTTCGAGATTGCTGTCTATATGGTCCGCATAGAGTCAAGAAAACGATTTAGTATGTATACTCGTCACCATACATGCCTTTCTCTCACACCGGAAAATAGACTATGATTTCACATGTCATCTCATCGAGCCACGGCGTTCTCGCCTCAACAAGGTTGTCCCTCCAAACCTGCAACCACAAGCGAACTCGACTACGGTTCTATCAGACCTAGATCTTCAAAAAATACAACACATGATCGGTTCTATGGAGCAGCTGAAAGACACACCAATCGACCTCGTCGACTTGTCCCAAGTCCAATCTTCAATAGCCTCCTTCTTCATGGACAGTTCGGCAGACACTACCATAGAAAAAATCGATGTCGGGAGCACCAGCGCTCGCTTAGATGGCCTGGCTCTTGCATTTGCTGCTCTTGCTTTTTCTGCTCTCATATATAAAGCCTTCAATGAGAGCAACTTTGAAGTCCCACTGGCATTTCTCGAGCTGTCAATGAAGACTGCCGAGGACTACGTCGGCCCACCAACGCTGAATCTAGTCCTTGCGAGTTTTCTTCAGCATATTTGTGTGCTTCGAACTGGGACATCCAATCGTTGTCGAGCGTTGATTGCCCAAGCTGTGCAGGCAGCTCATGATATTGGCATTAACAGGTGCGGGTCGAGCCATAACCCGCTGCACACTGCCAGGCTTTATTTGGCGCTGTATTTTACGGATCAGTATGTGCCGTAGTATTCCTTCGCTGCTACTTGCTAAGCATCTCCTAGGTACTGCGCCATGACATATAATACTGCGCCATGCATCAAGCCAACCGATTACGATCCTGTTATCTTCGAACCACTCCGACAAGCCACCCCGGAGCTCAAGAATCTAGTGGAGCTAGTGACTTTAAATGGAAAAGTACTGGACGCAATGCACACTTCTTCCTTGAATTACGACAACGTCATCAGCCTAGAATCTGTCATCGGCAAGGCGTGTTTCACCCTTGGCCAGCCGCTTCTCAGCAATGCGCAGGAGGAGAAAGGCTTCGAAGCACGCTACGCCAGCTTGGCCCAAGTTCACATGTTCTGGTAAGTTTTTAAGCTAGACCGGTTTTTCCAGCGCTAAAGTCCTCAACAGGTCCCGCATCATGCTTCGTACACCCTTCCTCATGTCCAACGAACACTGGTTGTCGTCGCTCAGTATCTGCATCCGAGCAGCGCAGATGCTCCTTTCAATATACTTCGACGTCCTCGGCCCATCAATCCTGGCAATAGCGAGGGCAGATTCTCCCGCAACTGATCGACTGTGGAAATGTGCTCACAGATCCAATCAGTTGCCACCTACTTGGCGCCAAGTACGAAGAATAATGACATCGGTTTTGGTTCTCTTCTATGCCTTTTGGTATGGTGAGGTCTCATACGACGAGGCCGGCCGCGCAATTGCGTATGCCTTGGCACTTCTGGAATTTGAGCGAATGAGATGGGGCGCTGCGCTCAATGATTCTAGGCGATCAATCTTGTTTCTGGCGGCTGCCAGTGGAATCAACTCTATGGAGTACATCAAGTGGATTCTACCAGGGGCAAATGAAGGCTTCATCGCCAGCGTGCTAGATGTGGATCATACCCAGGCACAAGCAGACCCCACTATGGACCAGCAAGCAGATGATGGTGGATCATCCGTCCTTCAGGATTTGGATAGCGAGAGCTTTGGAGACTTGCTCTCCCCTAATTCTGTATTCTCCGGCGTTTTTCCGCATACAGGATGGGACTTCGAAAGCCTATTTAGCGCCAATTTGGGAGGGATGGGAGACTTATAATTCCTTTTCGGAGCATTATATATAGAGCAGAAATGGAAAGATATTCGGATCATATTCTTCGAGAAAAAAAAAAGCAAGAGAATTCAGAGAGAGTACCTAAACAGCTCGTTTTCCCTGTCCGTCTTGTCTTCGAAGCCTAGCTGCATAGCCACCGTCTGGTCAACTGGCCCGTACTCACGATCACGTCGCTTGTTCTCAAGCACAAGATAGCTCCGCAATGAAGCTGCCCCACAAATTGCAATTACTGTTGTCACAATGATAGCCAAGAAGCAAGTTGGATAATGTTCTTCAGCCTCCGGCTTCTTGATGGTCAACGGAGCAACACCATTGCTGATCCCCCAAGCACACCAGAGTAGACCCGACATAAAAGACTTTTTGGTGTGCCCAGCAATATTTGCACCAACCAGAGCCAAAATCATCATGTAGCCTCCAGCGAACCAGCCACACATAACAAATCCAAAGATTGCACCGGCTCGTTGTGCGTCCCAGTTCAGCTTCCACATCAGACAGGCACCCAGTACCACGCAGGCTTCACATGCGATCACCAGCCATGTTCTGCAGTCTTTGAAAAAAGTGCCGGTGATGCCCACTATGATGCATGTAACAAAGACGCCTCCGCCAACTGCTCCGGTTAACAGCACAGATTGAAAACGGGAATAGCCAAAACTGCTGATAATCACACTGCCAAATCCGGAAAGGCCCCCATTTGCAAAATGAAGACAAAAGGTGGTTGGAACGAGTATCCACGTAACTGGGTCTCTCAATAGCTCTTTGATCTGATATAATTTGAACTCCTTATTCTCGATACCGGTCTGTTCCAAACGGATTCGCTCCACCGCAGCCAGCCGCTCTTCTGGTGTTAGAAACTTCGCGGATGCTGGGTTCTGTGGCAAAAAGAAAATTAATACTATACCCCAGACAACTGTGCCGGCTCCAAGGATAAGATACTGGTACTTCCAGGATCGGAGGTTACCCTGGATATGACCTATTCCGAATATGAGAAGAGATCCCAGAAGACCTCCTAGCCCAGTAGAGGTGTACCACAGAGCGTATCGGAGGGGTTGCTCTGCTCTCTTCCACCACATAGCAATCATGATGGAAAATCCAGGTGCTACAGCACACTCGATAACGCCCAGAAAGAACCTAGCAATACCTTGTCAGCAATAATCCACCAAGCTGAGTCTGTTTGCCCCCTTTTACCTTTGAGCCAGGAAGCCATGATAGCTGCCCACGAAAACCGTGAGCATAGTAACCACTCCCCATGCAATCACTGTACACGCGAGATACCGGCCGATAGGCAGTCTCTGAGCCAGCCAAGCAGCGGGCAGTACTTCTGGGCGTCAGCCGCTACTCAGGATCATGTTCATAGAGAATGGTTGGTAATACACACATCCAGCCACGCATCCCCAATAGAAGATAAGTGTAGCGAATGAATATCTCCGTAGACTCAGAATTGGCTGTGGCTCGGGGCCAGGAGTGTATCCCTGCACGGTATAGAGATGTAGATCCTCGATAATGCCAAACTGAGAGGCGCCGTTGAGAATAACCTTGTCAACATACTGGAGCATAAATGTAATGATCAGGAGTGGCATTAGGAAGAAATCAATCTTTCGGAGGACGTGACGGTCATTCACAACCGGAATATGGTTTGAATGGACTGTGTATCCTGCGGGTTTCTCCATTGTATTCTCTGATTCCTGAAATAATCCCCACACTGGCAGAATAGGAAATGGTGTAGGAACAAAGGCAAATGATTATCCTCTGGAGCTTTATATACACAATACGGCGTTCCGTCTTGGCCTATTTGCTTGTCAATTTCCCCACGGGGACAGTCCATAGTGCGGGGATAGGGACGGCTACGTTTATTGGACTCGTATGACAGTCACTATTGGGTAATGTAGGTTTTGCAAGAAAAAGGATCCGGGTGTACACTCGGAAAAGTAATTTTCTACGTCTATATGCGCGTAATATCCGCTCGACGTCTGGATCGCTATATCCGCATTCTATATCCGCCTACATCCGCATCATAGAATAGTATCTTATAACAAAGTTTCGGTTATATAGGAGCGCTCCATTTCCGTATCTCTGCTTGAACGCTTGTTCTTTAGAACAAAATTGCCTTTTTTATTTCGTTCCCGGCAATCTACAGACATGACAACTATCCACACTCATCCATCCCACGGTATTGCCGCCCAAGCCCTAAACGACATCCTAGGCGACTTCAACATCCCTCTTCCAACCGACGGAAACGGTCCGCGTATCAAATTCACAGGCACAATTCCACCACCAGAACAAACAAAAAGCGAAAAGATATGCCTGTCGCTTGTTGGAGGAATTCCAGCGCTCGCCTGCGCAGTCACCGCCGCACAGATCTTCCAAGCACGCGGAGGCGAACAGCAAACTGTGGAAATCGATCTTCGTCGAGGCCATAACTATATCGATCCTGATATTGGTATGACCCCTTCGCTCAATGGACAAGAGGTAACCTTGGATGTGGTTGCTGGAAACCCATTCTCGAGAAATATCTTCGAGACTCGGGATGGGAAGTGGGCAGTCCTTAGTGCTGTGTATGTGGATTTGGCATATCAGTGGACCGCATTACTGGAATGTTCGATGACGGAGAGCGGAGTTAGGGAGGCCGTGAAGAAACTGGATGCTTCTGGTGTGCGAACCGACTGATGTGTGGCTGCTGCAAAACAGATATGCTAATACTGACATACAACTAGATCTCGAAACCCTAGCAGCCAAGGCTCATATGCCTATGGCGATCTGCCAGTCCGAAGTAGCCTGGACCAATCATCCACAGGGGTCGCACATGGCGAAGCTCCCGATCGTCCCCGTGAAAGAATGGGCAGGAGCCAATCAAGACACTCATCGTCCTAGACCTGCACAGCCTGGTCTCCCCAGAAACCCTTCCCGTCCTCTTTCGGGCCTAAAAGTCATCGCCATCACCCATGCCATCGCTGGCCCAGCTACCGGCCGAACTCTTGCCGAACACGGAGCCTCAGTTCTCCAAGTGATGTTTACCCACGGCTTTGAGCACGCGTTTGTCTATACATACGCAAACCTGGGCACCGCATCCACCCGCCTGAACCTCAACCGAGAGTCGGACCGCGATCGCCTTTGGACACTCGTACGTGACGCTCACGTCTGGATTGACAGCTACCGCGAAGGAGCAATTGCCAAGTTCGGCTTTTCTGACGACGAGATCAGAAAAGCCAACCCAGGTATGATTATCAGCCACATTCGCTGCTACGGGACTTCTGGCCCCTGGGCGTGGAAACCCGGCTTTGACATGCAGGGTAGCGCGTCGAGCGGGCTCATGTATCTCATGGGCCAGGGAGTTGGCGATGGGCGACCGCAATGGCCGCCTGGTATGGTGATCAACGACTACACTACAGCGTATTTTGGTGCGCTGGCAATTATGGGTATTATTTTACGACGGTGTAAAGGCCAGAGCAGCTGGAGCCAGGGGTGGAATGTCTCACCTAGTCTCTGTGGGACGGCAATGGGCATCTTGAAATTCTTTAAGACGAATTCGCTTCCCATTGCAGACTTAGAGGCCAGTGTCGACTCTGCCCTTCCGCCAGAAACACTGGAAGGCGAGACGCCGTTGGGGTATCTGCGGACGTTGGCGCCGCTTCCGCATTTGAGCGCTACTCCTCTTCGCTATGAGCATGGTCTCCTGATGACAATGGGATCCGCCAGGCCTGTTTTTCCTGGCCATGATGATGGATACGATGTGACCAAGTTGACCCCCTGGACAAGGCAGGAGCTTATTGCTCATCTTGGTGTCGCCGTGACCGGAAAGCTTGAGAAACTGAGGGCTCTGGGAGCTCTTGAGAGGGATGCATTAGAGAAAAAATGCCAGTACTCTTCTTAGAGGCTATTTTGGATACATATAAAGCCATTTTCGAAATTTTCTTGACTAATACACCATGCGAAACGCTTTCCTGGCCCCACCGTCAAAGCCTATGCGTAAATCAACCATCGGGCGGGCCGCATTAACTCGAGGGATTATGCTCAACTTGTTATATTCAGCCTGTTCTGTCATTTCCTGTGTGGTAAAGAACTGGCTCTCTATCATATGACGTATGAGAACGAGCTTTACAGAGTAGAGTACCGGGACTACAAATGCCCACCATTGCATGCCATGACAAAATATAAATCGAGCGGGTACATGCAACGCTTCAACACCTTCCTTGTTCCACAAATAACAACACACATCAAATCCCCCCTACCTCAACAACACCAACACATTAATTATTCAATACATCACAAATCGCACCCCCGGAAGGCGGACTCGGTTTCACCGGCGCAGGTCCCGGGTTCGGCGCCGGAGGTGGCTTAACATGCGGCGTGGGCGTGCCCCGATGATTGCACACATAGGCACTCGAGCACCACTTGCCATCATCAAGCTTATAAACCTTATCCTTATGATAACTATAGCACTTGAGCGGCAAATTCATCTCGTACATATGCCACGCGTCGCCCGCAGCAATGGGGTCCTTGATGTTCGGATTAATGTGCACGGTAAACACGTCGCCGTTGGGCATGCGTGCGGACACGCCGCCTTTTTGGCCCCAGGGATATGAACCGGACCAGGGGACGTTGACCATCATTGTTGGTCTGTTGGTGTCGGCGCCGTTGCCCGTCCAGACGTCGCCGGGGTAGTAGATCATTTCGCGGGAGGTGGAGCCGCCGTTGACGCCAAGGCCGATACCGCAGTCGGCGAGGACGAGGTTTTCGTTGGGGGTTTTTTGGGATGTCGCGAGGTGGAGGAGGGAGAGTAGACTCGTGAGGAGGAGGATAATGTTGCTTTGTTTGAGTGTCGCCATTTTGGAGGTTCGCTTGAGGAGCAGGCAGGCAGTGTTCATGGACGAACAAGAGCAATTGCTATTAGAACGGGCGAGGTTTCTTCTTTAACATTCATCGGGCAACCGGCGCTGAAACTGCGACAAGTTATAGACCCTCGTGATATAGAATGGGTGATGGGCTTTGGGAAGTCTGTCAACCCAGCTGAGGTGCGGGTACTGTGACCCTAGATAGTATTATGCAGCAGAAAACCCTGCATGCGCCCGGAGTGCATTTCAGCTCTCGGGGTTCTCCGGCATTCTCGTCAGCACTATCAGCTGTTTTCTCCCCCAAGTGTTCACCGCATCGTATACTTCAGTGCTTGGCTGCTGCAAGGTCATGCCATAACTGCTTGGACAGTAGTGACGCTGACTGCGAATTGCGAAGTGCGCAAGCGGAATCGCCGATGCGAGGATGACGTGGGGGTCCGAGAAGCATCTTGGGCTGAAGATCTGTTCGGGAGAATTGCAGCCGAACACACATGGCCAGTTCTCGACCAGTTCTAGATCCTTACTGGTGGGACCCTGAACGGGCAAAGAAAAGGCAATCGAGGATTACCTCTGCTGATCTAAGCACCCTCATGCATAAAAGGGCAAAATAGCCGACGACATGTCATGAGTTTCAGGCCAGCCACGTAGCTAGGGCTGAACATCCATGCCAAGCAAACGGCGGCCTTTGTGGGGATCGCCAGTTCTAGAAGAGTAATGGGACGCTATAATATGCATAATGACGTTCCTGTCATGTATGCATCCACGGCAGGGATGTTACAGTGTCACTCGACTTATTAGCCAAGTGTTTGTGGCGTCGCACAATACGACAGGCGCTCTGACCCTCATGCATTGAGGACACGGCCTGCGATTCAGGTGAGGCTTCGCCTCTTTCGAAGCGCGTTGGAAAATTAATCGCATTCAGCTGGCTGCGACAAGCATGGCGTCTCTGAATGAAGGACAGCAATTGGAATGATATATCAAGCGGTTGGGAGCGCTTCAGAAACCCACGATTCTACAAGTTCAGATTGCAGACCCAACCCCCCAAACCTCAGCACTCGCAATGCTGTCCCTCAACCTTCCCAAACTAGCCCTGTTCATCCCGCTCCTAGGAACCTGCCTAGCAGAGCTCCTCACCCCGTTCCCAGACACCGCCAGCGACCTCGCCATCAAGTTCCAACCCGTCCTCGACTTCGACACGGACAGCTGCTACCAGACCGCGGCCATCGGAAAAGACTACAAGGTCAACTCTGGTTTCGACCCAATTCTCGCTCCACCCCGTCCGCCAGGTCCAGGGCCAATTGTTCGAGCCGCCACCGACGACGAGCAAGTCGTTTTCGCTGCCAACGCCAGCGACAGCGAGATTGGGATCCGCTCGGGCGGTCCCTACGCACCCTTTGGATGCCGCGACAAGGCCCGACTAGACCACAGCCAGACATACGTCCGTGAGCGCTGCAACCACGGCTGGTGCGCGTATCTGTACGGGTACTACTTTGAAATCGACAATGGGTTTTTAAACGCACACAAGCACGACTGGGAGCACGTCATCGTGTGGACGCTCAACGACCAAGTGTTTTTCGTCTCGTGGTCCGCGCACGGCGACTACACGACGCACTACTGGTCCACGGTCCGGTTCGAAGGCTCGCACCCGAAGATCGTGTACCACCTCGGTTCGGGGGGTACGCACTCGCTGCGCAAGGCCGAGGCCAAGGACGATAAGATTGAGAATGATACCGGGCGGTGGTTTAGGGCGCCGCTTGTTTCGCTGGAGAAGATGCCCTGCGAGTTTAATCAGAAGCTGCTGAATAATAACTGGGGCAGTGCGCATAGTGATTTGAATAGGCTTGGAGAGAAGCTGGATAAGTGGATGCCGTGGGATGCGAGGAATAATGAGCATTTTAACCCGTGGGAGCCCAAGGTGCCTTCGTGGGCTGCGAGGGGGTGAATTGGGGATGGACGATAGCTGTCAGTTCGTATTGTGGACGGCGGTCAGATTGGGCTATGGTTTTTTTTAGATTGAAGGTCAGACCGATTCCGAGACACAATGTAGTACTATCTTGATACACTGGGTTTTCTGGGCTACCCAACAGATCACCCAGAACATGTTCCGGAACGGGCCCATAATATCCAGAAAGTCCAATTTCCTTCGATATTCTTCTAAGTTCGAGCTTTTCTATAGAATAACATCATCACCAGGTATGGGAGATCCTTCTTCCTACCATCTCTTCTTCTCAATTATCTTAGTTGTTAGCTTGGTAATGAATAATACCACCTTTCTCACTATCCATCTCTCCCTTAGGTGAACTGGTGTCCACCTCAGACACTACCTAACATTCGACATCCTACAGGCAGTATGGCTTGACCTGACTCTCAGAGTGTTATGAAATGTCCCTCATACAATAGTTTTGTAGTAAAATAAAGGGTGTAAGTGACTAATAAACATGTTTTTCTACTTAATAGAAGTCGAATGATTAGTTTCTAAACACTGATCAATAGTGAATTGAAAGAAAGAAGTAATTAAATATATTCTGATTAAGATACACCACCTAGTTACTATTACGCACTCACCCTTATCACCTAGGATCGTGCGACCAAAAAGCGGCGATCTCCTGTTTCTCCACTAGGCTCAGCCACTTTATTTGCTAGCATAGGCGTAAGGCACGGGGCTTAAGTACGGCTGAGCGGACGGGAAGCCCTGTTTTCCACACCATATGGCCGTACGTGCTAGAAGTAAGTTACGACTAGTTTATATATCAGTAATGAGCCGCTCTTGCAGTTAGCAGTTAGTCGTACCAGTGATAAGAGGGTACTGCGCATTTGCAGGGTGACTAGACTAAATAGCTGAAGGGATAAGATGACTTGAAATTCTCAGGTCTGAAGGACTGACAACAGCTAATTGACAATAATAATACGATTACAAACTGGCAATGATGAGAGAAGAACAATTTCTGACTATTCCATGATCAGATGCCTCTTTCGGCCGTATGCACTCATGGCACTTGACCCTGTCCCGCTTTTAAGGTAAAGGTCAGGGGGCCGCAGCCACATTTATCCAAGCATGTTGTAAGAGAAGGACAACTCTGGCTATGCAGCGATGGTGATTGCAGAACACCCTCAGTACTATGAGCTAACAGGGTACCAAGCGCAATTCATATTTATTTTTAGGTACTTCCTAAGAGATGATTTATCTGAATATCATGTCTGTGGTTACTCAATTGACAGTTAAAATTTGGAGGACGTTGATTGGCCAAGGCGTCTCCTCACGTGCTCCAGTAATAGCAGCCCATGTGATTTGCTTCATGGTGGCTCTTCAAATTTCCTCTCCTATTGACGACAATCTGACCTTCCATTGTAACTTCCATTCGTAATGAATGCCGGAAACGACAATCTTACTGTCCATAAAGTTTCAGTACAACGTACACGTCAAGCATGCGGACCATGTCGGTATGTACATCTGATGAGGGGCGATTTTGGCCGTTAACACCTACCCACGTGATTCCATCAATTCCATGAAGCAGGCAACTAACTTGCAATATCTGCGTCAAGTCGAAAAAAGGCTCGTTGTCCAGGCGAGAAGCCGACTTGCTCACTATGTCAGAGACTTGGTCAGCGCTGTTCATACAACGCGCAGCGGGCAGCCAATGGCGCAGTATCGGGAGCTCGCTTAGGACTCAACCAACCGCGCACCCCAAATGACGCGCTACTAGGAAATGGGCCAAATGCTCAGCAGTTCCGGCGTATCGAACAGAGGCTGGATGCGATGGTGACCCTTCTCCAGTACGTTCTCCTCAATCTCAAACGCATCTCATCATTGGCTTCAATCATGCTGATGTTATTCCGACTAGAGAGAGGTTGCCGACAAGCAATGCCATGGATAGAGCATCTGAAAGGACAGACAATCCTAGTTCGGGAGAAAGGATGCCATGGTATGTCATTGGCGGTTTTCACTCCCGTTGCGATGAACTTTGTAAATGATGAATCTTAAGTGTCCCATTTCAGCCGGAATACATCAGATCTCAGGTAGAGATTTACCTGGATCACTTTTACGACCAGCCATATTGTGTCTTCTCGCGAGATAAGCTGATAAAAGACGCGGAAAAATTGCCTTCAGAGGTCATATTTCCTCTCGTCGCCCTTACCTCTCGTCTGGCCGGCAAACTTTCTGGGGATTTGCGGTCATATGCGCCAAACACAGCTGATTGTACTAATATGGCTTGGAGCATTCTGGCCAATCAGTATAGAACTGGCAACCTGTGTCTTCCTTTTCTGCAGGGCACGTTCCTGATGGCGCAACTAGATCTCGCCGATGGTCGGTCAGATCGAGGTTACAATAGTGTCGCCCTTGCACTTCGAGCGCTACAGTCAGCCGGGCTGAACAGAAGCGATGGCTACACCTCGCTTCAGACTAGAGCTGATCAAGAAGACTGGAAGCGCATTACATGGGCGTTTTTCATGCTTGACCGCAATTACAATGCCTCCCGGACCTATTCAATCTGCCTTAGCGACAAGCATTTCACATTACCCTTTCCTTCTCCGAATGCGTCTGGTACAGACCATGGATGCTCAAGCTCATGCGGTAGACTGTACGATGGGCCTGGAAAACTAGGGGAAAAGGTAGATGACGGGATTCTGGCGTGTCTCATCCGGCTTTCCTCGATCTGGGGTAAGCTCACAGAGTACGTGTTCGAGCCCTCTGATGAGGATAGATGCCCCCCATGGCAGTCAGGCTCGACATGGGCAGGTCTAGAATCGGACTGGATGCAATTCCAAACACAATTCGCGGATACACACCGCTACGTGAATGTTGATTTTCGCCGACGGGCGCGCGAGGAGCGGGGCTCGCGTGCTTACTTGTCCACCTGGCTATGCGTTCAATTTCTCTTCCATTCGGTACAGGCATTGCTGCACCACCCATTCGTCATCACGGGTAAGCTTCGCCAGTACGGGAAACACATACCTTCTACTTTTCTGCAGAAATCGTACGAGAGCTCCGTCATCCATTCCAGATGGATTGCCCGGTTTGTGCGGGAGATGGCCGAGGTGGGCTTCAAGCTCTATGACCCATTCATCGGGTATCTCTGCGCGATTGCAGCCACGATCCAGTTGGAGCATACTCAGAGTAAAAAGCAGCAAGTTGCCCGCCTGGCCAAGAATGACTACGAAACGCTTGTGGCATTCGTGACTGGTTTATCTGCGTACTGGGGGAATATGGGAGTTTTGGTGCGTGAACCCGAATTGGCAACTGTAGCAGTGCTAATACTTCTTCAGGCCCATCGGTTAAACAAAATTGCTGAACGACGCAAGGACTATGGTTCACTGTATGATAATCAGGAAGAGTTCTCCGGCATTCTTCCCTGCATGCCAGCCTCGTCTGATCTACCTCGCATGTCTGCTGAGGACGAGCGTTTGATGTGGGATATTCTTGACTTTGGCACGTCCTGTAGCTTTGCTAAGGCATCTATATTCGATGCTTCCGGTTCTTCATCCGACCAGCATATGGGAGGAGTGTCTGTGCCGCTGCCTCTGGATGATTCTTCATCCACAGGACATGATGTAGTAGGAGAGGTAATGGTTGATCTTCCAAGACCACGAGCTGAAGAGCCTGGATCCGCTACAGACTCTCTTGATCAATATCTTCCACCAGAGTGGCCGATATCAAATACTGACGAGCTGGGATTGGCACTGCCTGATGCAGCGGACTGGTTGCTCTTTGGAGGTTCTTTGCCGGAGCAGTTATGATTCTAACCCGCCTACCTTGACTATTCGACATCTCGGCTCGCTGACAGTAATCCTCCCCGTCTGTACCATAGGAGTGAGTGAGTATTTCTCGTTATGCGTGTTTGCGTATGAGGTGAAATGATTCTTATGACTGTCGTTGGACCATTTCATACGTTGTGCAAGAAAGGAGCATGATATGCTTGGCTCATATCAAGCAAAGAAGCGTTTCACATTAGGCTAATCAGTTTCATGCATTATGTACGAGCATCGAAGGTCATATGTATTTCCTTCGTGACCTTCTAGATCTTACTTCTTCGGACTGATGCAGTCATTGCAGCAGTATACACCTCGCGCTCCTGAGGTGTCATCTCTCGTCTCTCGGGGCCTCCACGGCTGCCATCACCTTGAAATGCGTCTCCTTGGAACCGTTCACGGAACTCTGTTGGGAATTTCCATTTCTCCAGTAGTTCGCTCGGAAGCTTCCGCTCGAGACTACCGACAATGTACTTCCCAAGGACAGGGAGGAATTTGAAAGCACTATGATTCAGTCAGATCCGCTGCATACGGCTATACTCGGCGCCCACTTACTGTCCGCTACCGCCTGTGGCAATGAACAAGTTCTTGTGCTCAGGATGGTAATCGAAAATAAAGTCCCCGGTAGGCGTGTCATTGTACCAACACAGACCCACTTTTTCGAATCCCCGTTCCGCAAGTTCGGGCAAGATATCCCTCAGCCCGGCTAACAGTCGTTGCATACCGTCTGCGGGGATGAAGTTGGCTCGTGCAGAGACAGCCGAGCTTGGGGGTGCAGATACGGCTTTTTGATGTGGCGACGTATACCCGAACCCGTGGACCGCGACTTTCAGGTACCCCGTGGCTTCATGGACGGGAAAACAGAAGAAGCCCGTTGAAAAGTTGAAGTAGATTGGGAGGTCCTTAAGCCGAATCATCTCCTCCGGTGTCAGACGGAGCCATCCAACAACCTGTCCAGTAGCCATCATCGAGTTCCAAGACGGGATGAGACTCGCCGTCCAGGCGCCGGTGGCAACAATGAACCTGTCGCCGGTGATGCGGTTGCCGTTGATAGTCCGAACGGCGTCAACCACTCCATCCCGTCCATACTCAAGCTCGACGACATGACCGTTCGGACCGGAAATAAAGCTGACTCCCGCTGCCACGCAGCGACTGGCGAGTCTTTGAACAGCTAGTCCCGCATCCGCCCATCCAGCATTAGTATTGTAAAACCCGTCAAAGCCAGGCGTTGCCAACTTCCCACTCAAAGCAGGGAACCTTCGCTTCGCCTCCTCAACACTGGGAACGGCATGCCACTCCTGCCCCATTTCCGTCAATACCTGCCGCGTCTTGCGGCTGTACTCCGCCGCACGGGGCTGCACAGGTTGCTCCAAGGTTCCTTCCTGCGACACCCAGAGACAAGGCGTCTGGTGAAACGCCTCTGAGTACTCGGGTGTCTTCCACTGGTCGTACGCCTCTTTGGCTATCTGAGCGTAGACTGGATCGCCGTAGTCAAATCGAATGACGCGGGAAATGTCGTTACTGCTCCCATCTGGAACTGGAGGCATGCATCTATCAACGACAGTGACAGAGGTGTATCCATCTTGAGCGAGCCTTAGGGCCGTGGAGAGCCCGAAGGCACCGGCGCCAACGATGATGAAGCGGTCGTTCCTGTTCATGTTTCTCGTTATTTGAGGTGGAGTCAAATTGAAGGATCTTTGATTTTGGGTTCCATTGCTCAAATTGGTCGCAGAACTTGACATTTATATATCCCTATCGAAGACACAACAGTGATCAACTCATACTTCACGGGCCGTGAGCCGGACACACCAGTGTGCTTGGCGGCATTGGCTGATAAACCGGGCCGTACACGGACCGTCTCCACATCTTCAATATCCAAATTGGCCAATCAAAGCCCAGAATCCTGGATCGTTCTCGGCAGATGTTTTGATCTGTATTTCCGGTTTGTGGTTGTATCCGTGTCGTTGAGAAAAAGTCTTGATAATATTTTTGAGTAGGGATTCTACATACTTCCCTCATATGCCGCAGTCTAATGTGGGATAGTTATATGAACATGTGGTGTAGTGTGCTCTGCGGTAAAACATGTCCAGAATATATCAGCGGGCATATACAACTGAACGTGATCCATGAATACAACATCAATAGAATGAAAGTACTACCTTTTGGGTGAGCCAGATCTCAGCACATCCCGCACCAGCAGCCGTAACCTCCAAGCCAAGGCCAAGTTCAACAGAACATTTATTGCTCTAGATAATCCTATAAAACTTATCTACACCCTAATTCTCCCACTCCTTAGCCTATTATAGACGCGGTTTAGCTGCTTCCTTAGTGATTTAAGGTCATTTCTTTACTTGCTAGTGTCAAGAGCCTGATTTCTGGAGGCAGGCATTATAGGATGGTATTGTTTAACACATTTACTCTGGTTTTAGCTTGGATATCTTTATAAGATATAAATGGATTAGTTATTGAGTTTGAATCATGTGTAGAATCAATTACTCATCTCTGCTAGATAGCACCCTATGTTGGCTAGAGTATGCAAGGCCATAGGTGATTGTAATGTCTGCAGTATAAGAATCATTAGTTTAGTAACATATATATTTTTGGAGTTGAAAATAGTTTCAGATTTGGACCAGCTGATATTGCATGGTAGGGTGGATGCTCGCTTACAATGGCCGCTCGCTTACCGATTACGTTAAGCATGCTGAAGTGCAGACCACAGATTCTAAGGCCTCACAGCTCTTTAAGATGTGGATTTTTCTCTCAGGGGCCCAGTTCAAAGCCATATTAAGAGGCAGGAGTGCATGTAAAAAGTATGAAATATTGGCAGGGTGAAGCTTGTTTACACAAGGCAACGATGCCGGATTACCAATAATGGCTCACTTGCTCTCTAACGCAGCTTTTATTACTTAACCCTTAGTATTCATTAATAATGGTATTTACGTTGCCCTAATAATCCACAACAGTGATTATTTGCGTAAAAGAGAAGAAGTATACAAGTGATGATAATGGATGATGGCTAACAATTTCAACAATAGAAAAGAGAAAGAATGAAGCAGTATAGCAAGGAGCGCCTATATTCTAGAAGTCACATGTTCTGGTCATCCACTAAGAGGTGGTCCTTATATTTGGTACAAATGAGTATATTCTGACGGAACAGCCAGGGCCTGACAGTTTTATCTGGGTCTTACGACCTAACAGCCCGTTGGTAATGCGCCCTTGATGATATAATACTTAAACGCGAACTATTCTACTGAATTCTCTCCCCAGGGAACTTACATTGTTGGATGGATACAGTTTATATGACCCTTTTATTGTTAGAAGAAGCTCTAGAGCATATTTTGAACACATCGCCTCTTGATTAGAGTAGAAAGGGCCGTAATCTACTTCTAGTATCTGGTCATCTGTCTACTCACTGGATTTCGTCAAGCCATAGACTAAATGTGCCCAAAAAGGAAGTGTATGCTGATGATGTCTTTTCCTCCGGTCAGTTGAGGGCAATGGGAGTTACGCGCTTTGCTACATCTTATATGTACATACGGACATAGAGATGCAACATTGCCCTGTGCTGCCAGCAAGGTTACCTCTCCGGCTTGGTGTACCGCACGTATCGGGCAAGCATTTTCAGACGCCGTTGGCTCTGTCATATAGGTTTGACAATTAATGATCAAATTCGATGGTGTTATGAGTAACTTGGAGGTCTGCGACATGGCCACTAAGTGAATACCGCCTGTCCTAAACCGACGGATGATTAAATTCTGGAGGATAGGGAGTTGCGGAGGATTGGTTTTTCAATTTTCAGACTACTCAACTGCAGTGTAGAATTCCTATTATTATAATTTCTTCGCATGTACAAAAGAGAGTATGTTGTATTACCCATACTATTTTTACTCCACTAATAACCTATTCAGTGCTGAACAGAATGCACAGCTTTCCTATAAATATCTGTTCTGCTATTGGGCTCAGTCAGATAGGTGCAATCTTATGACACCCCACTGTGCATATGACAGCGCGTTGTTTTCATTCTGTGAAGGCACATTCTTCCTGTGTACCTAAAGGGTGTAAATAGCTTAGGTGGATTGTTAAATGTAGGGGTCGGAATGCAGGCCATGCAATAAGCTATTTTTACATTAGTATAGTTACACACATGACCTGCAAAAATTATAAGAACGCCCTCGCTCATCGTCAGATTGTGAGTTATCATAAACCATTCACTAAGGAATTACTTTTTACTTTAGTCTTCTTATTTTGCAGACATTTAAGATGCATCTGACTCTTACTGTGCTCTTTTCCATTGTCTCATTAGGGTTTGCTAGGGATCCCTTTGATTCTACAAACTCCCCAAGCCGTTCGAAGGTTGAAGGAATACAGCTTGATTCATATTGTCCTAGCCATGACGCTGATGAGGAATCCCAACGCGAGATATTTGCCCGATTCGTCCAAACACTGTACGGCGAGAAGAATGTGTCGAAGGCCTTCAGCACATATGTCGACCCCGGACTGATTGAGCATGATCCTTTTGAGCAAAGCCGTGATGAAGTCGTGGCAAGGTTGTCTCAAATCATCCCCGTCACCGGTTTTACGGTTCTACGCTCAATTTTTGATGGCGACACTGGGTTCGTGCACGTCAGAGTAGACGAAGAAGACGCGCAGCCAATTGCTTTTGCGGACATATATCGTATGGATGGGACCTGCATTGTCGAGCATTGGGACGTTGTGCAGAGCCTCCCGGAGAATTCCACGAACCCGATGGCCATGTTCTGATTATTGGAATTGTGTTTTTCTAGGCTGTGCGATAGTTTTCTGGCTTTACATAGGTCCTGGGTTCTAGATTTGCACTCGAAACTGCAGAGGTGCGGTCCTAAGCACCTAAGATCTTGCACACCGAACTGGACTGAATGCAACTTGATTTATGTAACATGTACTATTTTATCTTTTTGAGGGAAGGATTTGCAGTAGTCTCCACTCTCTCATGGAAGGCTGTTTTTGATTCAGCACGAACGAAAATAGATTCAAGGTATGGGAGGCGTGAAATTAGTCTCCTTTAAGATTCTTGATGTCTTGGTGATATACCAGTGATTCTAAGAGCATAGCACATACCACCATAGGATGTGGAAAACAGGGCTTCCCGTCTGCTCAGCCGTATTTAAGCCAGTATTATCAACGCGCTGAACGACCCCTTTGTTTCCTTTTTTTGACTCAAATTTAGTTGCATCTTTTATCTATGTGAGCGCACTATACTTATCCATCCCTTTAATAGTTAAAATTCTAGCTAACCAACCTCTTACTTAGCTTCCACAACCTTTCTGCGTCGACCTTACTCATCACCCATGAATACACTCTTTCCTCATGAAGGTCCGCAACGTGGCAATCACTCAAGAAGGCACCACTGTGCTACTCAATGTAAGGATTAAATGCAGCAAAAATATATGTAGCAGCACGCTAATCTAAGTCCTTTATTACAAGTTATCCATGTCCCATAGCTACTTATTTCCATAGAATCTGTCTATTTGCACAAGGTCTGCCGCAAAGGCGGCCTGGTCATGAATCCCATGTGATGAGAGATTTATGAAACATGTACCAGGGCATATTAGATAGGCAAGGGAACCATTGGACCTAAGTCTCTGTGCCAGTGCAAGGCCCATTAGAGCACTAGCTATCTTTAACTGGCCATACACCAACCACATCTAATTATATTCACCATTGTTTTTGGTTATAATCTAACCAGTAGATATGACCTATGCGGTGCACATTGCTAGAGATAATATAACCCAGGGGGTCAGTGATACTAAAAACTTCGCCATAATAAGATTAGTGAAGAGGAAATGGCTAAGATGATTTGTCTGGAACTGGCTTTCAAATCTGTCCTTAGTCAAATTGTATGGAACTGCCATGATAACAGCCAATCAGAAGATCGACACAAGGCACATCAGACCACGAATATAAGGTATCTGCGGCTTTGCGGACGTTATCGAATGACTGCAGGTCCAGAGCAAGAGTCAACCCTGACTGTTAGGTGCGCGGTGCCAAGCCAATCAGCAAGGCTCTGCAATTTGGTGACTGAGTGGCCGGCTAGAAGGAAGGTTGCAGGCCTTCCTACAGCGACGTGCTTTACAAAGCTTTCACAGAGATCCCTGGAGACACGCCCGTGACGTGTATGAACTTCCAGCGATTTGGGAAGCGTAGAAAGGCATAAGCTCGCTGGCCCTAGTTCCGTGACTGAAGGACGGCGCCATGGTGGATATAGTAAATCTAAAGTCGTTAAAAAGGCTGGATAAGTTAAACTAAAGGACTGAGATAACCTGGAGAGTATATTGGCTTGTAATATGGGCTTGAGCTCCTTAAAAACTGGACGAGCTCGGTTATCATGACCCCCATCATGGAATTCTTATTCTCCATCTTTCCGCTGGAGGAGATGCACAATTTGTAACGGTGTTCGAATCATATTTCCAGTGTGGATTCCGGGAAATAGCATCATCCGCGCATATAGTCCCCGGGTGCTACAAATCCGGCTATCCGAGATGTGCATAGAACTCGCTGAATAGCAAGCGTAGCTCCATTAGTGATGCCATGCCCGATGTGTACAAGTCAAGTATGGAGTGCGTTGGATAAGAGTCCAATCAATAAGGACCTCGCTTCGTATTTCATCAAATAATATGAACCAAGCACCAAAAAGAGGTTGCATTTCGCCCCTTTACCTTTCCCTTGCGTTTCCAAGCAATCATGCACTGGCCACGAAACGTAGAATCACCCAAATTACACCCAAACTTAGTTCGATCAAAAAAAAAAAAAAAAAGTCACCAAAATATACTTCCGTCAGAGCAGGGTCCAATTTAATCATTCAATACTATCGATCGCAAACCACTATATATTACTCGATGGCAATGACGGTACAAAAGCATACAATCACAGAGGATTTCAAGCAACACTACTCTTAGAAGTAGCATCCTGGAAGTCTGCCAAAAATCTCCATCGACTAGCTATCTTCCAGCCCTTCTCTTTCCAGTCGTTCGCTTTGTTGGGGAAAAAATCGATAATCTCCGAAAGACTCTTATCATGCGCAATGATAACGAACACATCCTCGCTCGCGTCAAAGGAAGCCATCTTCGAGATGGTAGCTTCGGCCTCAGCGACATCACGGCCTGGGGCAGCTGACAGTTGGCTGTAGTAGGGCATTGTCTGGCTGTGATTCGGGTGAATTGACTCAAGGAGGGGCCCAGGACAGATTGTACCTGGTAAGTATGGTGGCGTAGAAAATGGTGATGGGGAGATCTCTGTCGGTAGGGGTACGTGTTTGTTGGGCCTCAAACACCCACAATGATGGCACCCGTCAGCTCCCATGAAGATAAAAGTCGTAGGGGTGGTGCGTGCCAACGCACACATGTGCCCAACAGCATGCTGAAAGTTTAATGAGCTTCTCGGATCAGCATGTGTTATAGTTGAGATAGTACTTACCCCTGGCGCTTCAAGTAAGTAAAAACTCCCGTCACCAAAGAAATCCACGGCGCGAAAATGGCCAATTTCCAGTCCACTTTCGAAACTAATTTCCCGCAATTGCCGTCCGCTATCATTACATAGTAGAATTAACATCAGTGTGGCTTGGATAACAATGCGCTCAAGCGGGAAGGGAAAACATACGCATAGTCACTCTCGAGTATCACACCATTAGGATCAGCGGGATAGCCTGGAAGAATAGCATCCTTGAACCCAGAACCGACAACGAGTTCTGTTGAAGGCGGAAAAGTAGACGGATCGCCGATATGATCAGTATGCCCGTGGCTGTGTGTACCGCAACAGTGTTAGTGATCTAATCCGGGTGTTATTTTGCTTCTCGTACCTCCAAATAATGCTATCAATGTCATCGAGTGCATAACGGCCAACTTCCTGAAGAATAGTAGCAATGTCCTTCTCTGCATCCATAATCAAACCTGGTATGCCCTTGCGAATGACTGGAGGCAGAGACTCTTTGTCCACCCGGAGACCTAGATCAAAGAGAACTCTTCTGCCCAGAGGACTCTCAATGAGAAAGACATAGGAAGGACATTTCAGTATGTCATGGCCTGGCAATGGGTCTTTGACAAAAAATTCCAATGGGACCCTGATATCAGCTGTACTATCAATCACACAAACGTCAACGGTGTGTTGAGAAGCTGGGATATTGAGATTCAGTAGTGGTTCAGACATCTTAATCCGTTGCTCTGAGGATACAAACCAACGTCTCCTAACCAAGAAATAAATAGAAAAGCAGAAGCAGACACCAGCTTATGAGTCCGTAGAACACAAAGTATGCGCTATTTATATGAATTTGAGATATCTCATCAAATTTTGGTTATCCAGATGGAGATGAATTTATACAGTAAGAGGGGGTGAAATTTCCAAGCTAGAGCTCGGGATATGATAAAGCCGCTCTGGGTGGTTGTATAGAGGCGAGGAATTGAGAACATTTCTGTCTTGCAACGCTGCTGGGCAAGCCAATCAGAGAGGGACTCCTTAATCGGGATGGATATTCTTGGGGGACAGGTGATATCGCCTGATAGCAAACCAATGGAAGAGAGGTTTCCTAACGAGGATGAATCAACTATAGCTTGAGAGGTAGTTACTGCAAGTGGGTTTCATCATCAGGCATTATTCGCCCCACATCAAGACTGTGATCCAACCAGAGAGGGCTTTCCTCATCAGGGTTAGCCATACAGTGCAAGTAACGCCACATATACCAAGGGCCAATGCAAAAGCGGTTTCCGAATCGGGAGATCCCTTCTTGGCTAGATGGTGACATTAGAGTTTAGCCTCCTCCAATGTGCATGCATGGCGTAGCCCTAAAAGGTGGGTTTGGGACAGGACGTTCACGCCTGTTTGCAGATATAGTCTTTATGACAATGTTTTGGACCCGGAAAGCGAGACCAGAAAGCAAAGAAGGTTCTCATTGATTTTAATCATTTCTAGGCAGCCACTAAACTGATAATTAGATATGTAAGGTCGTTCTCTCGATCACTTTGAGCATTATTCCTTTCCCATTCGAAACCATACAATTTGCCGCGACCCGAGTGTATCACATTCCAGCAGCCAAATATCGGAAAATGAACTTTCCACAACCTAAAGTTACTTTATTACCCTCCGGCCTCGATCTCCATGGCAAAACAGCTGTGGTCACCGGTGCTACTGCAGGAATTGGCTTAGAAACAGCACGACAACTGCTCAAGCTCAAGATCTCCAATCTCATTCTAGCCGTGCGAAATGTATCAAAGGGCGAAGAGTGCAAACAGGAGCTTCGGCAATTCAACATAACCGCGAAAATCATGATTCTTGAACTCAATACGGACGATTATAAAAGCGTTCAGAGCTTCGCCGCAGCATTACAGCGAGAAATTCCGGTGGTCGATATTCTGATCCTCAACGCAGGTATTGGACTTCTCAAGTTCGAGCGCAGCCCAAGTGGACACGAGCGCGTCACCCAAGTGAATTATCTTTCGAATGTCCTTTTGATTACTGCATTGGTTCCGCACCTCACAGAAGAAAACCGGCTGTCCTGCTCGCGTCACCTGGGTAGGCAGTCGCATGTACTTTGACACATCTCTAGACAAAAAGGCGCCCTTAAAGGCCGGTGAATCGGTGCTTGAGCACATGGACTCCAAGGAGTTCTTCCTTGCGAATCAGAGGTACAACGACTCCAAGCTCCTTTGTGCGATGTTCATGTATAGTCTTGCTCCGCGACTCGACAAAAGCAAGATCGTTTTGAATATGGTCTGTCCAGGTCTAGTCAACACTAATATGACCGACGTCTTGCCGCTCCATGTGCGCATGGTCATGGGCGTCGTCAAAACCCTTTTTGCGCGACCAGTTGAGGTCGGCGGGCGGCTTTTTATTCATGCGGCGGTGGTGGCAGGGCCAGAATCTCATGGAAGATTTCTTGGGGATAAGGATATTATTGAGTACGGATTTTGCCCCGTTACCCTAAGTTGCCGACTTAAGAGGACCTTTGACGACTAATTAAAATCTCACAGACCGTCTCCATACCTTCTGTCACCTGCAGGGCAAGCCGTGCAAAAAAGCCTGTGGGCAGAAACTATCGCGGAAATGGGAAGATTGACTGATTTACCACCTGAATTCACTACAAAGGAATAGGAGGAGATATACAGTCATCTCTCCTGGACTATGGCTTCATTCCGTGTTTCCGTCTTCACAAAGAGAGAGTAATTGCAAGTGACCAGTGGTTAACTGTTACTGTGAAAGAGCAGCCAAGTATTCAAGATTTCCCAGGGTCATTTTATGTAACTGAAGAGCGCAATGCATGTTGGTAGCTTCTTGAAACGATGTCATATTAGTAGTTGAGATTCTAAACAGAATATTATGGACTATCACACCTGAAAGAGTAATAAAGGAGTAAAGAATCATACAATTCTGTTTCATTGATCCTTCCCCAGAGTAAATTCGAGGGATAAATGAAAATACACTCAATCCCCCGTCCCATTTTATCCATTTATCCATGATTGGAAGCATACCAAAGCGCCTGCCCTGCTGGGTCATGGACAGCATTGACCCATGGAAACCTGGAAAGAATCTCCTTAACGTCTTTCCAGCTATTGACTCCTAGGCCGAGTAATGTGTGCTTTGTTGTTGAGACCCATGCAGGATGCTTCCACAGGCACGAGGAAGCTGCTCCAATAAATAACAACCAAACAAGCAACTCCTGGCTATCCTGCTCAGAGCTGAAAGGTCGTTGAACCCCTGAAAGAAGGGCTGAGGACAGGAGATCATTCCGCGCAATTCGACCATCCCATCCCTGCAGAAATGTCACCAGAAAAGCAGTCAGACCTAAATGTACTCTGTTCTGAAGCGAACAAATTCCGGGAGCGCAACCTAGGGGTTTGATGTTCAATAGACGATATCCGAGTAAAATAATGTCATCGTAGAAACTGGCGGCGTTAATCCTCGGTACAACGCCAGCAATCGCGTTGTTGAGCATTGAAGTAAGGAATAACATGTCATTTAGGAGCTTTTGAAGGTTGGCTGGCAATGCCTTAAACTGGTTACGTGTATGAACTAGGCGATATACCTCGCTCTCCGGCCGCAGGTTCAAGCTGGGAAATTGCGCAGTGGTATTGCATCCCATCCAAGCCTCTTCAACAGAGAACAGGGTTGGCGAGCCTAATTGTAAGGAATTTTCAAGATCGACCCTGAAGGAACATTAGTAAGAACACGGATAATACAGATTCTTCCCATTTATTTTTAACCATACCGCAGCATTTTTTGTGCCAAGCCAGAGCCCCCTGTGACGAGCTGTAGCAAACCACCTCGCAACTGAGCTATCCGTCGTAGACCTTGAACATGAACAGACCCCTGTTGATACTGATGTTGGTAATGTTCATACTGAGTCATGCTGACTATGACTGCGATGGTCTCATCAGTAACGGCACTCTGGCCAGATAGCTTTTGATGCACTAGGCGGAAGGTGTGTGAGATATGACGCCTTGCCTCAAACAACCCCTCTGGCTTGCTTGTCAGATTATTGAGATGTAGGATAGTCGTAGCCATGACGCCATGAAAACCTGTTCCAGAGTTAGCCCAATTCATGCGATGGACGGATTGAATAAAAGCAGTATTTACAGGCTTCATCAGCAAACATGTACTTGACACATAGAGGGGCACCAAGGCCCGCATAGTCAAGACCGTTGCTCACCTCAGGTGAGAATCTTATGGCATTCACGAATGCGATTACTAACGGTTAGGCGTGAGTCGAGACGAAAGCTAGCTAAGCTAGGCAATACAACGTCTTTTGAAGTATCATTGACATACCTTTCTTGGCAAGTCCTTTTGACTCATTAGGTAAAAGACCCGGGAAAAGCAGACCATCATCAATCGGCCGTTCAATATCGTAAGGCTTCTCTGCTGTTACCGATGCTCCCTTCATTATCGTCGGGATAGAGAATGGGATCCTGGAAGTCATGGACGCAGATTTTCGGGACGGGCGCGAGACTTTCTTGCCCTTGTTTCTTCCCAAGGCTGCATGACTGCGAATCCTTCTTCTTGTGGTATCATCAAGGATATCATTGCTATTAATAAACTCAAATGGCATATTGACAGTTGCGCCGTTGACAGGGGATGGTAGAACACTGAGAGGCGGCGTTGGTGGTCAAGAGGGATGCAGGGTCCCAAGTTGGGCGTGGTTCACCTTCTCGGCGCTCTGGATTACACCGAAGGTTTCTCCAGCTCCGGCTCCAAACCACGTTCAACTGTATCCACCACCAAATTGCAACTGCTACAATTTTTTCAGGACGCACTATATCAACATACTGGTGCATCTTGAACATCGCTAATTTGAGGCTGGGGAAGACGTCGAATGGCATTCAAGGCGTGTGGTTATCACGTGGTTTGTGGTAGAGTGGCCAGTCACATGGTACTCGATAGTTGACAGATATTAATTAGGCAATGTCGGACTTGCATCCCAAATGTACAGCAAAGAACTTATATATATTGTCGCCGCATGTAAGTGATGGCGACAGTAGCCTTTCTTTTATACAAAACGTGAACGTAAGAAAGGCTGTATAAAAATATGCGCCATGTTATACCATGCAACAAGATTCGTAAACTTGTTGGAGAAGACAAACCTCCCTTCGACACCGAGAGTCTTGTATGGCGGCGAATCCCTAGCAATGTCATAATTGCACATTTCAGATGGGCAGATATTTGCAACAGTTTAGGACAAATTCTCCCGCCCCTTTCTGAGTTGGTGTCCGTCCGTAAGTCCGGCAACTGTCCACTTGAAAGCTCTCCAGGACTCATTGGCTACTATGAAGATTGACGTACAGGAATTCGTTCGAATTCTTCTTGATGACCTCCGTCGATTTCAATGTAAATTGTCAGCATTGCAGTTTGCATTGATGATACTTGGGTGGACCGAGGGGTATTTACGGTTAGCCCTTTACTGATCATTGTATGATTCACTACGTTTAATATTAGAGAAGGAGATCTGGGGGATTGATTATCACTTTTATGTAAGAGAACGTCATTAGCGGCAATTACTAGCATATACAGTCATGCCAAATGGCACAAAGAGCATTGAAAGCATATAGAATAGACTTCAGCTATTCAGTAACTTTTCCCTTCCAGCATTTAGGGTGGGCAACCGAGCGCCTCAACCTTGAAATGGCCGCTTTCGAAGAGGCAAGGGAGATTAAGCCCCAAGCCAATGATCTCATCCACTTTTACTGGATCTGGATCTTCGATGTTTCGCCTACGCCTATTCGACGGTGTCTCTGCTTTCTTTCTCCATCGCGCGCCGCTTCCAGTATGCAAGCTCTATAACTTTGCTTTTAAAACACAATCACAGCAGATGCTGCCACGAAACTAGTCAACTAGCCCCTCGCTCTGTAGGGCGCAGGCCTACAGATTGAATCCTGGTACGCGGTATATGGTTTAACCCAAATCAGCAACGTCGGATCTTTATACGTAATGTACAGTGAGATGTAAAATATGAAAGTCTATACAATACCGTTTGTTCCTTCCAACCCCTTCACCTAATTGACCCATCCTGCCTCAAAAGGCAGGACACAGCCTTCCGTCCTTCGTCTCGGTCCACGCCTCACTACCAACACAATGACGACACCAAAGTAGACCCTCGGGATCATAGCTGCGCTTGATTGCATGAAGCCTGGGGTATTGCGACCCAAAAAGCGATGATTGCCAGTCTGGTTCGTATGGGTTGGCCTGGGGTAGAGTGCCGTTAGCCACTGTGGAAACGAATCATAACGTCTCTTGTCCAAATGAGGGGAAAGTAAAAAAGGCCACTGCTTTACCTCATTGACGTAGCAACCTGTATTGGGAGCCAGCTGCCGAAGGGCATGTCCTTTTCCATACGTCATATTAAACATCACCTGTTCACGCAAGTCCGATGGGAGTGATTCATTCCAGCTTTGGGAGACAATCAAGTGCACGATTGAATCCCTCCACGCTGGGTTCAAGGCGTTATCGACGGCGACCTTACTTCCCGTCATAGTGCCAGAGATAGAGGGAGAGGATACACCCTGCAACGAACTTTGCATTAGATAAGATCTACAAGGCCGAAGACACCAACCAAGACCCTCGAGGTTCAAAGGAAAAAAGGGGGAAGGATTGGTGGGGGGTGGTTCTTACATCGTGAGCATCCTGTCGAGACATGACGAGCTCCAACACGTCCGCAAAGCGTTCAACATCTTCTTCGACCACCCTTCGTGGAATGAACCGGGACGCTCTAGCCACTTCCGCCTTGCCGACAGACTCGGTGGATGGCATGTTTTGCATAACGTCGTACAAGGGCAGTGTGACAAGGGGCTTCACTACAGCGGTGACGATTGGTTCGTGCTTCTTCAAGAAGTCCTGAAAGGGACGAAGAAGCCTCTCCGCAGTTTTATTCTTCGCATCGTACAGCAGTAGCGCACCGTTCATTACAAGTGGGGAGCCGCTTAAGGTGTAGTAGCCGTGGATTCCGTTGTCCTGGAGGTGTGCCAGATAGCGGTGAGCCTTAGCAACGAGTCTGTACCACTCATGCTCGGTAGTTGTGTTTCTGGCGGATAGCATGAGATTGATCATTGTTAGCATGGGCATACGATGAGCTCTGACGGTCACCGAGACAATCACTCCGTAGGTGCCACCGCCCCCACCTCGGATGGCCCAGAAGAGATCCTCATGTTGACAGGCGTTCGCGATGACGATATCGCCCGCCGGAGTAACAACCTTGGCTTCGATAATGTTATCTGCGCCCATCCCGTATATGCCCGTAGCCAGCCCGTGGCCACCCCCGGTTGCCCATCCTACAACACCAACATCCTGAACATTCTCGTATCAGCATTTTGCCTCCACACTCAACCTTTCCGTCCCCTTTCGGTCGGCCATAGATCTTCAGGCTGGGGGATGAGATTCTCCTTACCATGTTCGTCCCGCCAACAGCTGTGGCATTGTGCTTGGCAAGTGCTGCAAACATCTCACCGTCCTGCACGCCCGCACCGAGAGTAGCAGCCATGAAGGTTGCATTTCCCCCTGACCCGAGCTTGCTGCACTGGTGAAGCTGGAATCTTTCATGAAATTGAATTTCTTTCATATGATGAGTCCAAATCCTTGCTATCAGTCAGAGAAATTTCATGTTAGACAAGGGAAAAAGGGGTTGCGAAAACAGAAACCCTTACGATAAACTTCCGTGGTTGATGCTGCGATCGGACCCGTGGCCAGTGTTTTTGATGTTCAGCCGCAGATTCCACTGCTTTGCGAATCGAATCCCGCCCTGAATGTGTTCTGATTCCGTGGCATTGATAACATAGACCGGGTAGTTGCCGATGGTGCAACCCTGCTGGCCTGCATGCGCGTTGCCCGTGATGCTTGTTCCATTTGGGTAGATCGGGTTACAGCTGTTGTCGGACCAAACCGGATCATCGACGCTGACCGGATCTGCGGCGTGGAAGGCCGATCTTGTCCAGTTGCCCAGCACGGCTGTGCATGCTGCTAAATTATAGTTGGGCTCATCGGGGTAGCACACGGCTGCTGCTGGGACCGTTCGAATCAACCTTCCGGACACAGTGTGATTGAGAGAGGCCCAATCATCGTCGGATGGCCAACACGAGTCAGAAGGAGACTGCAGAGAGATGACAATGGCAACACAATGTTAGTCGATCACCGATAGAGGTGCGGATTGTCGCTTCTTTAGACTCACACATTTGCAGTTAAGGGCATTGGTTATGCCGCTGGCCGCCAGGATAAGGGCCACAACAAGATGCATGATGCCAAGGCGGTTTATTGTTGAAGAATGTATAACTTCAAATCATAGAGTCTATATGTTATATATATATATATATAGCCGTCTTAAGAAGTTCAAGGGCAACTCCTGGGTCGGCTAGATTTCTAGAAGTGGTATTGTGTATACGAAAACGAGCTATCGGAAGCAGTGGACCCATTTGCCGACATCTCGTGCGGCCCGGTTGCCGCATTTGGTAATCTGGGTGCGAGTACGCATCGTCGCGCGGTTGATGGGCGCTGGATTAGTGTCGCCTGGCGATCCCACCAAGGTCGTATATAGAGCAAGATCTTCACCATCAGCGGGCTGGTTGCGCAGTTGGCCTGTGGTGTTTCCGGTGTGACCCAAGTTAAGGTTCATGGTAAGCCAGCAATGGCACCGGTCCTCCAGCAAAGTACTCATGCAAATAGAGACTAACTTGTATCCTGACTGAAAATGTCTCAAGCGAGCAAAGATACCTTGGACTCGGATGTTGTCTTCAGGCCGAGTGCTGATTTTCCATATCTCAGTGGCAGTGTCTCCCTAAACGTAGATTAGCAAGGAGTTTCATGACCCTGTAGCCGTATAATATGGTTTCATCAAACCTTAATCCAAGAATGCGAGGCGTCGTCCGCGTCATATCATAGATATGATCTCATACCAATTCGTAAGCCCGCATGGGCCCAGAGTGAGCTTTACTAATATTATCAACACGCTCGCATTTGCAAAGACATAAAATATACTGGGAAGCGCGATCTCTGGGTGTCTTTCATGAATTGCATGAGCTATTCAGCCTATTAATAGAACAGAGCTCGCAGAGTCGCGATCTCTGGTGGCTTAATTCAGGCCCTCTGCGGCTTCATCGCCACTTGAAGTTGAGTAGCTTCATAAAATATAACACATGCCAAGTGGTTTAATTTAGTGGTTAGTTGTACGTTGGGGAGTTAAGGTGAGTACTGAAAATGATTGGCCGAACTGCGCCACTTCCGCTACTGGGTCAAGATATTAAGGGTGATTGGTGTAGATATTCCAAATAGTGGGGTGTGGACACTGGATCCGGATAGCCGCGTGCCATTCTTGAGTGGACCCAAATTATAAGAAAAAGCGAAATTTTGCGCTAGAACAAACTATACAAAACATACAAACCACTAGAGTTCACAAATGCGGCGCTCTTATCGGTCGAAGTACCATAGGATTAATTAATCATACTGTGCAAACATACAAGACAAAGAAACTTAGATCATCTTTGAGTTTGCCAGTGTACGGATCATCATTCTTTGAACATGTGAGCTCAAGGTATAAGAACGCGCCTTGATTCCCAGAGGAGGTCTACCAGGACACAGCAAATATCTTGAAAGTCAGACACTCTGCAAGAAAAGGTAAATTTCCATACTTCTCAGCCCTTTTAAACCTTCAGAGAGTCGCCTTTAGAGTCGCCTAGATTCCAATGCACATTCTTTGGATTCCGACCAAAACATGTCTTGCCGTCATGGACCTTTGTTCGGACGTTTATTTGCTGATTCTTGGTTTCCAGAAATTTGATAGGAAAAGCAAAGGCTCCCACGTTCTACCACTTTATCAGAAAAGAGTCTCTACATGTGAGTCTTAGTCGAAGTCAATAATCTGTTAGAAAGACTAACGTACCCTTTAAGCAACACAATGACTCGTCTTCTTTTACAACCAAGGATGCGTCAATTTGTTGACTTCATCAATTCAGGCGATGAAACCATAGGACGAGAGGTGGTTTCCGAATCAGCCGAGTTCCATGTTCCGTTTTCAGATACCCCACTGAAAGGATTGTCTGGATATATGCAAATTCTCGGCATGATGCGCTCTGCCTTTCCAGACATCCAGTGGACACTTGAGGACACAGTCATCGAGGATGATAGAGTTGTAGCGCAGTTTACTCTGCGTGGATCTCACGAAGGCGAATTCTTTGGTGTTCCGGCTTCTGGAAAGAAAATCCAAGCACAAGCTATGAACATTTATCGATTCAAAGATGGAATGATTGTGGAGGAGACTGGCCTGCCTGATTTGTTTGGGATAATGCTGCAAATTGGGGCTGTGAATCCGAGGGGTACTCATTAGGCAATTTCCGAATGGCATGTCCCGGTTCTCGGCCGTATACTCCTGTATGGTTTATCTAGAAGGACCGGGTTTTCGTGTACAGCGGGCTTTTATACCTTTCCCTATGTCCATTCTCTTTACTTCTAATAGTGTTTCTAAGGCGCTCACAATGATCGGGGGGATGTGTGGGACTGAGCCTCTTTAACAGATTTGAAAGTGGACCGAGTCAGATGGTAACTTTCATTTAGAGGGACGCCTGCTCGTCCGACTGCTCCTGCTAGACATCCTCAACGACTAGCCTAATATACGAGTGAACAGTTGCAGAGAGTACACCTCTCGGCTGCCATAAGTAAGACTTTCCAACATCCTTCCATTTGGGCTCCTCACTCCAGGCACCCATTTTTGCCTTATCTAGTTTTACATATCTCGTCATCTACGTACACAGAGACTTAGCTAAGGTCATATAATGCATAATTTTTCCAGCCATTATAGATTTAAGATGGGATTTGTTAATATACTTCACTTTCCTATCTCAATCGTTAGTGCCAGTGAAACCTATGAGTGCAAACAAGGCATATAGGAGTCCACTTGGTCTACAGTAATGATACTGAATAATCATGAATTGAATAGTACTATTAAAGATAAATAATATAGAAATTTAACACCACTAGGCCACAAAGGTGTCCGGACATGGTTCCTATCTAGGGTCCCATATCCATAGATATAGCAGTATTACATATTCCAACAAATCATATCTCTTTGCTCTAAAAGCTAGCCAGAGGCTAAGCTAGTTACTATCCTTATGTTACTGGCACCTAAACAAAAAATGTAAGGTTGCTAGTTCAGGGGAGAAAGGCTCATTAAGGATTTACTGCATGTGATATGTGATGATATGTGACCTAAGTACGGCAGAGCAGATGGGAAGCCTTGTTTTCCAGACCCTATGGATGGCCGTATGTACTGGATATTCGGTTAAGGAGGTTTATATCTGAAGAAAGACTCCTTCCAATATTGCACAGTGAGTTTTCATTCGGCCGGCTGCACTCGTGGGACGTGACCATGTCCAGACGTCTCTAAGTACTCTGCAGTCAATATCACGAGCCATAATGGGAAGGTAAAATAGCTATGTTATGAGCGTGGACCTGCAAGGATTTTGATTTAATGAAATTCTGTGTGCCTGTAGACCTAATCGTAGGATGTGTGTTGAGCTTCAGCCTCTCCATGATCCTATATTATTGCAGCGGGGAAGGGTGTATATTGTCCCCCGAAATGAGAGATAGATATTGATATACAAGGTAAATCCAAGGTACTCAGGTACTCACAGCCAGCCCTATATTGTAAATAGCCTCCGTGCTATTTACACCCTAAAAAACAGCAAGGTCAACTGCGAGCACCACAGGAAAAAACAGAGCCCGCCGGGTTCTGATGAATCGAGACACCGGATGCGTAAAGTCCGAGGGCACACTGATCAATCAGCCTAAGCACTGTGTCCGAGCAAGGTATATACTTACCACAACCAATCCAATACACACTGATGACACGTTGACAACTGTCAAGAAAATCTTCTCCCGCGACAAGAACCACATTCCCTTGTTCATGTACAGCCAGAAGACCCCGGGCAGGCCAAAGGTAAACCAGCTCAGAAACAGTGCGGCCTAGTATCCGGTCAGTTTCTTTGAAGGTGCTACTCCGCATGGGTAACTGACAATCAACCCGATAAGGTCATTAAACACTGGTATAGCCTCGGCGATGATCCAAGCTATGGTCCAGAGCACGACCATAATTCCTACCCATGAGCCAACAGCAATCCAGTCGGACTTGTGGATTCGACCTGTTCCTGCAAACGTGCGCAGATAGATGGCTTTGGCGGCAATGTGGCCATTAATCACACCTGCGATGACAATCTGCGAGGGTCAGTCTCTAGACCGCGGAGAGTTGAAGTTTCGCACGGGGTTGAGAATCTTACAGTAGGCAAGGCTATGCCGTATGCAATCTTGGAGATTAAAGGAGACGCCGAAGCTAGAGCCGGTGATGTCACTGCGTCGCCAGCAAAGTAGTATATAACGACCGCAGCAACGATATAGAGCGAGATATCAATGCTTTGGAGAAGGGCAAGCGCCTTTGGAAATTCCCTGGGGTCGCTGAGCTCCGCAATGAAAGTAAAGAAGGAATTATGGCTGGCTGTTGACTGTCAGATATAACACTGAGTATATGGCAGTATTATACCCACCATATGCGAAGACCATATTCGTGACGCCCCCAAAGCCGGTCACTAAATCTGTGTGCTTGGCGACCGTCCATGTCGAGGGTGGCTTGATGATCCCAATACTGACCATGGTGACCATCACTGCGGCGAAGACACTGACAAATGCTGCTAAGGTCAGCTCTAGCCCAACCGGTACGGTCCATGGCAGCACAACTCACAAACGAGCGACAGCCATGAGACTTTCTCCAAAGTCCGAGGCAGCGAGAGCAGGCACGAGATAACTGCTCCCACAACTCCGAAGACAATGGAGCAAGTGGCATGACCCGTAATGACGTTCAGGGCAACAGTGAATGTCAAGATATGACTTGCCATGATGAAGATCAACAGTAGTATCTGTGCTGCATTCAGGAGTTCCCTCCCAAACGGGCCCATCAGAACTTCACCCGCATCAGACATGCTGCTGATATGAGGAAATCGCAGTTTGATCTGTCCAATAACGTAGCCGTTGTAGCTGGCGATGATGCCCATGCTGATAAGGATGGCGAGCCCTGGAGCTAGTCCGACGGTTCCAACAGCCGCGGGGAGTGAGAGGATGCCAAGAGAGATAGTCTCAGCGACCATGAGCAGCCCTCCTTGCCTGTTGAAAACTGTTAGCACATCTCCTCCTGAAGACTCGGTAAACGCACCACCACTTGAGAACCTTGTACTTGACCTCTGCAAACTCCTCGTCACC